CCCGACCCTGATGTCTGTATATGGATTTTTCTCCTTATCCTCCGTTTTTTTCCCTCCACATTTAGAAACATTGTTCTGCAGATTTCTAAGTACAGTTTAAGCATTTAATGTTGTATCTTCAGGCTTAAATTGATTGCATTTAGATAACATTCATAGTTTGCACGCTAAATTGAATCGCTTTGAGGCTTTTCCGGATAAACAAGCACGATAATAATGACTGTAACCATTATACATATTACCAAGTTAATTCTAATTCTCAACATGCAGTGCCAACAATGATGTATATTGATGTTAATGGTTGAGTATATATGTGCAAATGTATGTTGAACTTCTTTCGCACCGTATGTAGCCAACCGCGTGGTTGTGACGCCATAATCGTGACGAGGCTCTCCATGACTCCATATCTTCGGATAAATCTGCGACAATTAGTGGAGGTTTTTTTTTGGTCCAGATAAACAAAAGTTCCTTATCTAGGCCAGGCCCGGCGGTTGGGGTGGCGCGAGGGTGGGTAGGAGGGCCTGGGGTGAGCCCTGCCTCACCACGGGGCTTGGACATCCCATCTGCGAGCACCAACAACTCTGGAACAACCTCATCGCCGAAGCAATCCGCACTATCAAGGAATCCACCAAAAGAAAATGATCCCCCCCGCCCCCTTGTATATCCTTGACAGGCTGCTGAGGACAGATATGGCAGAGTGGACATGCCAAGAGATGGAACTTTGGTGGTTCCAAACAAAGACTTTTGGGTTCAGCAGTTGCATTAAACGGGTTTTGATCCAAATCGCATGCACAATCTTTGGAGCTATTAATAGGCAATTAGGCACACGTCGCAGAGTTTTTTTGTATCGCTTTAAGGTAATAACAGGTCGGAGCAGATCTAAGGACAGCGTTGTGAATTGGCTGTATCAGGTGGTGGAGGTTTTACTCGCGCGCGATCTGACCCAACAATCTATTTTAACCAATTTTTTTTGTTAACCATGCTAAGGCCCACTGGAGCTCTATAGCTCTTTTCAGAAGCGACCTGGCCATCACAAATGATAGCTCAAACGAAGTGGCTTATCATCATCACGTGGAAAGTTATAGCAGCCATATAACTCTAACGCGTGACGTTGATTCTAAATATGGAGGGGGAAACCGGAGGGTCCGGAGAAAAATCCACGCGACCACGGGGAGAGAGAGAGAGAAACGCAAATTCCAAATATACAGCAGGCGTCAGGGTCAGGATCAAACCAACGACCTCCTCTATACCAGGCGAGGTAGTTAACATCTCGCCACCGTATAAACTGGTGAGTGTTGGGGGCTGCTGGTGTATCGTATATGGGGCAGTCCATAAATGACGTCACGCGAATTTGGACGATTATTGACCCCCCCTCGTCCCTGCACTCTGATGTTGTAGGAGAAAACATTTATTTAAAAGCCTATTTAATTAAGTAGAACATGTTAAAGTTGCGCAGTTTGATGTGACGTCACATTTCTCACCCACCCCCTCGTCACACATTGTCACAAATGTCTGACCCCCCCCCCCAATAGGTGCGTGACGTCATTTATGGACAGCCCCTATGGTGAGGTTGACGAGTTGTGTCTAGCATGACTCCAGTCATAAAACAGGCTTCCCGCTAGTTATTTCTCAACCCAGTGCTTGGACGTGCACCCACAGGGGCTTACTGTAACACGTGCCGATAGAATCTTCACTCCATTTCTCCACGAGCTGGAACATTTGCCTTGTCATGGCCACCATTTATGTGGGCGGAAAAATTGCCGTTCGCAAGATTACACACCTACGTCCCGAGATTACCGCGCCGGCCAGCTACGCAGCTCAGACACCGTTTCCCAGTACTCGTAGATGTTGTCACTTTGTGGGTGGCACGTTTGTACTGGGATCAGGCTATGGGGTCGTGGGGGTATAACAAAAACGCTGGTCAGTCCACCCTTCAGTGGTTCACGCCTCAGCATGCTCTGTTATGAGTCTGCAGGTCATGGTATAGCGCTACACCACCACCACACTGCTCAAGTGTGCCCTGGATCAATGGCCAGCAACCCTTACACCATCCTCTCAATTGCCACAAGAAACAAAGCAAAGCCTCGAAAGTGACGGACCAAAACGGACACGGCATGCGCCTGGCCACCGACTACGAGACAAGGAACTGCGAATCATTGAGGTTCAACACCCGTGGCCTGAGATCCAACATCGGAGAACTCGCCACTCTTGTGCAAGGAGAAGGAACCCACCGTTGTCATCGTGGTATAAACATGCCTGGATCCATCTGTTTAAGACGGAGCTGACTACATTGCAATGCCCGGTTACACCATGTGCTGCTGAAGAGATAGAGCTGCCTCATCTGAAGGGGCTATTGCAGTTTACTGCCTACAAGGAACTGCCATCTATCATGACTCCCAAAGAGATCCAACAGACATTGGACTTATGTGGCACATTCACATCACGTTCCCAGAAGCTACTCATCAGAGTCACGTACAGACCACCTGTTGCTAACAATGACATATTTGACTACCCGGTCACAAACCCTGTCAAGAATGTCAGACTTCGATGGAAATTCCATCATGCAGGTGGGAGACCTCAATTTCCATCATGAAGACTGGGCTGGTAGCCGAACAACACAACTCTCCTGGCCGCCGAGCTCTCCAGTTTGCACACTGCTTGGGCCTCCCAACAGATTGTTGAATTTACAACAAGAGGTGACCAAATCCTGGACCTCGTCATGACTGACCTTCCTGCCATATCTACTACGTTTGCCCACCTGGGTACCTCAGACTATAACCCAGTCTTTGTAAAGCTCGGCTGTCCCCGCGTACACAGACAAGCCCAACAAGATGAAAGTGTGGTAATACAACAAAGCCGACGATTGGGGAATAAGCGGCTTAATCGTCGTTACAGAGTGGTCAAGAGGCGAGGTCACTAACCTCATCTGTAATACTATGGAGCTGCTATACATCCCCAGCAAAAAAGTCACAAAAATCCCGGAGATAAGGCATGGACGGGTTTGACGAGAAGTGCAGGAGAGCTATAAGGAAGAAGCAACACCTCTTCTGCCAGCTAAAAAAAACCAACACTGCCGTCAACAAGCTGAAATTTGCCCAAGCAAGACACTCCTACAACCAGGCTGAGAATCAGGCTAGAAGGAACTACAACATGAAGCTCAAGAAGGAGCTTACTGATAAGTAAGAATTGGTGGAGGCTCGTAAAATCCCACTCCGCGGTCCATATCTCTTCTCCATCTTCATTTACGACCTGGTCGATGCCTGCGAGAACCCAGCTGTACATCTACACTGACGACTCAACCCTCGACACTCCAATAAGATCACTTGCAAAAAGCTACGCGGCGGCAGTGAGCCTGAACCAGGAATGTGACATCTGGCCAGACAAATGGAAGATCACATTCGAACCATCAAAGTGCGAGAACATGAAGGGAATTCCGTCCAAGCTGGATCTGCATTTTGGCGACTGGTATGCAGGAGGTTGACGCCTGTATATTTGGAGTTTGCATGTTTTCCCCGTGACCGCGTGGATTTTTTACTCAAGAGTCCTCCATTTTTCCCTCCACATTTATAAACATGCATAGATTTTTTTACATCATTTTGGTGCTATAAATGTGCAAAGGATGAACCACTTTGTTGAGCTATCATTTGTGGCCAGGTCGCTTCTGAAAATTAAGTTAATACCTCAGTGGGCTTTGCTTGGTAGGATGGGAATCGTTTAGTTTTGTTTATGTTTGGGTGGTTTACCTTTCTTGTACTTTGCACTATCGTGTTTTTGTACCGTTTGTTGTTGTAAAGTTCTTACCCGCCCCCTAATGGACATCTGTGAAAAAGAGCTTTATAGCTCATCGGATTCCTCCTGCTGTATACATTAATATACTCTGATTCTGTCAGCTAAGCATCAACGAACATGCTCGAGATCCTCGGTGCTACCATTGACAGCAAGCCGACATTGGTCAAAACATCTCACCAACATCTCCTTCAGAGCAGGACAGAGACTGGGTGCACTGAGAAAGGTGGCCAACAAAACTTGACACAGGGGGCCGAGCCAGTCTACAAAACTCATGTCCGCAGTGTCATGGAGTGCTATATGAACGCCCGACCGACCAACTCACCTAAACCTTGTCGACAACATCCAGAAGAAGGCACTGAAAATAATTGGTGTTGATGAAGCCCACGGCCAGCACACAACTCGTCATCACCGTCGACAAGCTGCTGCTGTCACAATCCCTGGTACAAAACGCACACCAAACATTGCCTCCCCACAGACCTTCAGGCCATGCTACCACCCCTATATGAAAGACGCCGTACCACCCGATTATTCACGAACCTTCCAAGTCACGCCCTTGTTCCCCCAGTTGCCAGAACATTGCTCCCTGGACAGAAGCTCCCTTCTGCTTCACTCTGCTGTCCGGATACATAATTGCCTCCCTGATGAACACATTGTAGGCGAAATCACCGATTCTGGTGTTCAGGCCTTCAAATGCCAAGCTCACACATGGGACATCTCCCAACTTCACCCCACGCTTTGTAGGGATTGAGTCTTTGAGCTGTAGTGAACCAATGATTATGCCGATGAGATGTAGTAAAGACTGATATGGCTATTGTTCACAATTGCACCCAATTACAAAAAAGCAATACTCGCAGCTGTAGGTAGCGCAAGCACCGGGCAAAGGCAGGGCACCCACCCCCTTAAGCCTGAGAGACATCTCTAAGGGTTCGTAAGCGTCTCAATGCAGCGGGGACACACGGCTGCGGTGCGGAACGCAGGTGAACGCAGTAGGGACATAAGGCTGCACTGTGGAACGCAGGTGAACGCAGGTGAACGCAGCTCTCATTGGGAATCGTAATGTTTTGACTGCAGGAGGAATCTGATGAGCAATGAAGATCTTTTTTTTGTTTCCCCACAGATGTCTAGTACAGGCACGGGGTCAGCAAAGCCAGCAAGCCAGCCAGTCATCCAGGACTCGCGTTCACGAGTCAAGGGCATTTAGGACAAACACACAACCCAGTTTATGCAACGTTTATTTAAAGTAAGCCATGAACCAGAAAAGTATTCACCATAAACAATATCGATAACAGTAAGGCATTTGGACATCGATCCAGGTACTTGGGCACAGGAGTAAAAATTTAGCTTTTTGTGACAATTTCTACATTGGTAGTAAGCACAGGATTTAAGCAGAAATAAAATAAAAAAATACAGAATTCGGTGTAAATAAATTACTACGACCGTTTCGATAACAAAGTTTGATTCTCAGGATGTCCACCGTGAGTTTCGCGTCAGTCGCTTTGCGAGGCAACGCGGTGAATACAAACATGGGGAAAAGATTTTACACTTCACTTCATTTGTCAAGCAACATAAAAACTCAAATTGATTTGAATCAACTTATGACGATGCGGGGGGGTTTTTGTTTCTTTTTTTTGGTCCACGTACAAAACGGAACTCTGGGCGCGTTTTATTCTTTCCGCAGTGCATTTGAAGTCACGCAAAGAAAGCAGAGCGAATTCGTTTTCAATCTGGAACAACCGTCACGCAACAACGCAGCCGGTAATCCCCACCGACGCTTATTTTTCCATTTTTCCCATTTACAAGATAAACCTGAGAGCTTCGATTGCTGTACGTAATGTGTCCCACAAGTAATCAAATCAACATTTCCGAGTACAAAAAAAAGAATTGTAATGATTTAATGTCGTGATCCAATTCAACCTGTTCCATTCCTCATGAGCCCCAATGGTCCCTGATGTTAATCACCGGAAGCCTCGGCGAACAGGGTGACTGTATCACACCAGTCCCGACCCGGAGCGAAACGTTTATTTTACGCGACGGCGCTCTGTATGTATGCACATACAAATGTTGAACTTCTTTCGCACCGTACGTAGCCAACCGTGCCAATCACATGCAAATTGGAGGTGCGGGGCGGGGGGGATAACAAACCAAACACAAGAAGCAGTTCTGAAGAAATGAGTTTTCAATCTAGATTATTTGAAAGTAGATATCTCCAGTGGCTGTCCTAATATCGAAGCGTCTGCCAACACGTCCGTAGTGCCACGCATTTGTTGTTTCGCCCACCCACCGAATTCTGAAGTGGATGAATCACGTTACCCTGAGACTTAGCTGAAAAGAAGCAGGCGGAGCTTCTTGGCGACTGCACGAAGTGGCTACTGGTGCTATCGTCGTTCTTAGCACTGGCACCTGCCCGCAATCTCGCGTAAAACTCGATTCGCGCGCCGCCAGTTTGTTGCACCGATATCCTTCTCCCTCGCACCTCCAATTGTCACGGTTGGCTACGTACGGTGTAAAGAAGTTCAACGTACATACAACGCGCATTTTTTTGGCAATAAAAACACGATTTGCCAATGCCTACTGGCACAATGGAGAAAACCGTGACACGTTTGGGCAAGACGTAAATCTGGTGCAAGGCAGGGCTTTACTGGCAACTGCATTCACGCTCACCGGGCCAAGCAGCAGCAGCATCGCGCGAATCAAATGGCAATTAAAATTTTGCGGAAGCACAAACACTGTTGCATGTCAAACGTGATATTCAAGTGTAACCATCAAGCATTACGTGTGTAAGTGCAGCATATTACATTGTTCACTCGTTGAAGTTATGGGGTTTTTTTTATTTAAGGGGCAGTTTTATTACAATGATCATATTTTTTCATGAGCCAAACATTCACAATAGATAATTTAAATCTACAATGTGATGATATTCTTTAGTTCTTTCAGTAAAGTCACGTAGATACAAGAAAAATAATAATGAAGTGAATATTTTTATTTACTTCATTTTTTATTATTATTTTTATATCAACGTGACTTTACCGAAAGAACCAAATAATATGAATTCCTGCAGTCACGAAAGTTTTAAGTCAAAATACAATGTTCAATTAACTCATCACAATGTGATGAGTTAACCAATGCACCTGCATTGTCAACAGCACCCAGCTGTAGAGGCGACTGTGCCAGGGGTACAGGAGGCTCAGGACTGTGCCAGGGGTGCTAACGCTGCTTTACTCAGCTCCCGGGTTTAAGCTCAAGCTTCTCGTCTGAGGTCAAGTCAACCTTTCATATGCATCCTTTCATAACTTGGCCAGGAAATCGATCGCGGCAAAAATTTGGGTTTATGAATAAAATCTGCATTTATTGTCATTTATTTTGATAGCTCGACGCATCGATATTAAGCCACATTTGAACATATAGGGCAGTACTACACCGGAGCTGCGCCATAAATAAATAAAATCACAATTACTTTTTTCTTTTCCCCGCACTTCGTGAACCCCGATCAAAAAATCCTACGGGGTGGTGGTGGTGCATCAACATCAGTTCACGTGATGCCGAAGCGGCCGGAAGACGGAAATGTTCGTTAAAATTTGATGTCAGAACTGTTTTAAGAGCAACCCGGTTATGTTACGCTGCACCGGTACATATACCGCCACATGATACATTTCGTCAAAAGTTTACAGCGGTTGACATTCGTCACTGGACTCTCCTGAGCCACTGCTTACAAACTCCCATAGCGGGGGCCCTTGCTCACACAAAACTGAACATTTTGCCCAGCTCCCAACCGCCCCCATGCAAGATCGCACGAAGCGAGAGCCACGTGAAAGTGAACCCCCCCTGGCAAGGTGAGCAGGCTGGGGGGGGGGGGGGCGAAGTGGGGGGCCCTGTCCGGACAGGTTTCGAAAATCTGCAGCGCCAACAAGGGGGCGCTCCGAGAGCCTCGCACCCGAGCCAGAGGACTCGCGTTGCTACGTGCGTGCTAGCTAGCCATTACACCCCCCCACCCCAGCCCCCCGAGCTCTCCCGAATGCAACATCCAACGCCTGCAGCCGTGCACACATGGGCAGTGTGGTGTAGGGGCGCTCCGCGCAAAGTCATATGGCCATATGGCGCGCATTTCCCTTACATGGGCGGAGACCCGAAGCGGGCGGCAAATTTTTACCCCGCCGCAAAACGAATAAAGCCCGCGAACACGCACGTGCATGCACGCGAACAAACGCACGCGGAAGGATGCGTGTACAAATTCACACACACACAAATAAAACCCCTGACGAGGACACAAAAGAGACATGTAGATGCTCGCAACAAAGGGCAAAATCAGTCTCCAGGGGGAAGACGGGCAGGGGACACCGGGGCAAGTGTGGACGAGCAAAGAACGACACGAGACGCACGGCGAACGTATCGGCGCGCGCACGTATTGTGTCCGCACCACCCCCCCCCGTACCCCACCACTGATGAGCGACAATGCCCAGCAACACTTGGTGGCGGAAAAGCACACGAGGGGTACGCGTGCCAAACCAGCTGGGGCTTGCTGAACCAGCTGGGGCACGCCTCCGCGTCCCCCCCTCAGTACTTGTTGATGCCCAAGAAGCGCACTCCGTGCAGCTGGGGCAGCTTGGGGATGAGGACACTGAGCAGGGAGACGGTGTTCACCGCAAAGTGAGCCACCTCGTATTTGGTGTAGAAGCTCGCCAGGAAGTACCTGCAAACACGATCGGATCAGCCGCACACCCCCGCCCCCCAACGGCAAAAACCAAAAAAATGTCATTCGCGCGGAGGTTTTGAATTTTAATTACCCCAGCCGCACGGCATCGTGGGAACCGGTATCGCTTCCGAGGTGGCGAGCAGCCCGGTAACAAATACAAAAAATTAAAACATCGAATTGCAGAAATCTACATCGAATTGCAAGTTTGAGAACGTGCCCTGACTTTAACACGTGGATTTTTCTCCGGGTCCTCCGTTTATTTTCCCCTCTACATTTACAAGCAAAGTCACGCATGTTTAGAGTATTTGGCTGCTGCTATAAATTTCCACATGATGATGATAAGCGGCTTCATGGAGCTATAATTTTGCGATGCCCAGGTCACTTCTGAAATATAGCTATATAGCAGCTTAGTGGGCCGCCTTACATGGTAAAATAAAAACAAATATTTAGTGTAAATAGTTGATACTTTCAAAGGTGGAGTGCACCACCACCACAACTCGGCGGCGATTCCCATCAGGTGAGAAGAAGGCAGAGCCAAACTTTAAACCCCCGTTTTAGAGATTTTAACAAGCGTTAGCTTTTTTACATCATGCAGATTGGGTGGAGTTTGTAAATACTGAAGAGACCGTTCTGGACCATAGCAAGAGGCAACACGTAACGTTGAATGCAGTTTATGTAGTTTACGCAAAAGGGTAATTGTGTGAATGTTTATACTAGAACTAATATGGTTACATGGTTAACCGATAGCCTCTAACCGGCCTGTGTGTGATTATATGAAATCTCTGAGCGACAGTTGATGTTTTAGACTCAAGCAGTCCCTCCGTTAATATTTTTGTAATACGTTCCATTAAAACTACTGTTAATCGAAATAACTGTTAAGTTGAATTCACTTATAAGTTGAAAAATAAGCAAACATCATCAAGTCTGCAAGAGAGCCGTTTTTCCACTACCAAAACAGAAACCGTAATGTAAACAAAGCCAGGCAAGGTCTAAACGCTCATAGATGGGCGTCACTGATTGGCTGAGGTCGTGGCTCAGCCTAACTTACGAGCGCTCGGTTTGGCCGATATTGCCCCCCCCCCCCGCGTGCACAATGTAAACAGGTCAACATAAGTCACAACGTTAACGTCAGTCGTAACCATGGGATCCTATGGGAGGCAAAACGTTAACCGAAAAACCTTCAACTGATGTCACTGTTAATCGAGGGACTACTACGGTACACCCAATAAGGTTACATAGCGAAGTGATGGCCTCTTAAGAGGCCTGCGTGTGATTGTACAAAACTCTCTTGGGGGGGCTCAAAAACTCACAGGACAATAGGGCTGATGGTGAGGAACTTCCTGGAGGCAGTGTACTGGAAGCCATGGTCCATCTGCTCCCAGTAGGTGAGGAGGCGTGCCCGGCCCTGGTCCGGAGTCTCAAAGGGGGTGCCTTTCAGTGTGTGGAGGAACAAATACATTCCCTGCAACGTGACAAGCACACAGCCACTCCATCATTGTCATTGTCGTGAACAGGTGTGCACCTTCACAAACGTATGGTCAGTTCTCCTATAACGCCACGGTAGTAGCTGCACTCCTGAAGAACACCGCGTTATGGAAACAAAAATCCAGTTATGATAACTGATGTAAAGCACGGTCCGCAATAATGCGAGAGATGCACAACGCAGGCCTGAACAAAGACTGAGGTGTGTGGGTAGCGTCTAGAACTATCCAGCAGCATCCCAATGCCTTGTGTGATGCTACGCCGAGGCAGCCGTATGACTGCTTATTCCTAATCGCGTGACTTCGTTCCATTCACTCGATCGCGTTATAGATCCAATTCGCATCCACGTTATGCAAAAATGTGTTCCCCAATACATTAATCGCGTTATACAAGAGGGAAAAAAGTATTTGATCCCCTGCTGATTTTGTACGTTTGCCCACTGACAAAGAAATGATCAGTCTATAATTTTAATGGTAGGTTTATTTGAACAGTGAGAGACAGAATAACAACAAAACAATCCAGAAAAACGCATGTCAAAAATGTTATCAATTTATTTGCATTTTAATAAGGGAAATAAGTATTTGACCCCCTCTCAAACAGAAAGATTTCTGGCTCCCAGGTGTCTTTTATACAGGTAACGAGCTGAGATTAGGAGCACAATCTCAGAAGAAATCAATAAATCAGATTCCAAACTCTCCACCATGGCAAAGACCAAAGAGCTCTCCAAGGATGTCAGGGACAAGATTGTAGACGTACACAAGGCTGGAATGGGCTACAAGACCATTGCCAGGCAGCTTGGTGAGAAGGCGACAACAGTTGGTGCGATTATTCGCAAATGGAAGAAACACAAAAGAACTGTCAATCTCCATCGGCCTGGGGGTCCATGCAAGATCTCACCTCGTGGAGTTGCAATGATCATGAGAACGGTGAGGAATCAGCCCAGAACTACACGGGAGGATCTTGTCAATGATCTCAAGGTAGCTGGGACCATAGTCACCAAGAAAACAGTTGGTAACACACTACGCCGTGAAGGACTGAAATCCTGCAACGCCCGCAACGTCCCCCTGCTCAATAAAGCACATATACATGCCCGTCTGAAGTTTGCCAATGAACATCTGAATGATTCAGAGGACAACTAGGTTAAAGTGTTGTGGTCAGATGAGACCAAAATGGAGCTCTTTAGCATCAACTCAACTCGCTGTGTTTGGAGGAGGAGGAATGCTGCCTATGACCCCAAGAACACCATCCCCACTGTCAAACATGGAGGTGGAAACATTATGCTTTGGGGGTGTTTTTCTGCTAAGGGGACAAGACAACTTCACCGCATCGAAGGGACGATGGACGGGGCCATGTACCGTCAAATCTTGGGTGAGAACTCCTTCCCTCAGCCAGGGCATTGAAAATGGGTCGTGGATGGGTATTCCAGCATGACAATGACCCAAAACACACGGCCAAGGCAACAAAGGAGTGGCTCAAGAAAAAGCACATTAAGGTCCTGGAGTGGCCTAGCCAGTCTCCAGACCTTAATCCCATAGAAAATTTGTGGAGGGAGCTAAAGGTTCGAGTTGCCCAACGTCAGCCTCGAAACCTTAATGATTTGGAGAAGATTTGCAAAGAGGAGTGGTACAAAATCCCTCCTGAGATGTGTGCAAAGCTGGTGGCCAATTACAAGAAACGTCTGACCTCTGTGATTGCAAACAAGGGTTTTGCCACCAAATACTGTCATGTCTTGCAGAGGGGTCAAATACTTATTTCCCTCATTAAAATGCAAATCAATTAATAACATTTTTGACATGCGTTTCTCTGGATTTTGTTGTTGTTATTCGGTCTCGCACTGTTCAAATAAACCTACCATTAAAATTATAGACTGATAATTTCTTTGTCAGTGAACAAACGTACAAAATCAGCAGGGGATCAAATACTTTTTTCCCTCACTGCATATCCAAATCGCGTTATGAAAACAACACACATGATAGGGGAATGGACTGCAATTTGTTCATCCTCAGAGATTCAAGACTCCTGCGAAAGGGGAAGATCCTTGCATGGGAATATGGGCTGAATTGCTTGTTCCAGAATAGTTTTCTCAGGGGAGCAGGGAATTTAAGCAGCTACAGAAAACCCACATGAGAGAATTACAAAGACAGGTTCTCTCTTTTTCTTCGGCTGTCCATCGCAAATGATGATGACTGCGCAGAAGAGCCAGCAGCGGCCCAGCCCTTGAGCAGAAGCATCAGCCGCACTGTGGGAAAGGAGTTGCTGCTCGTCTACTGAATGAGATTTGTGTTGTGGCATTGCTGCTGCTGGTGTTGATGATGATAGGGCTTTTGCCCTTTCTTCTTCAACCCTCTTGAATGAGTCGGCGACAGACACTTCACTGCTTACGGTTGGCTGATATTTCCTCCCATGTGTTCCACATTAATATTGGACTCTCATGAGGTGTCTGTTAAAGACATCTTTGGAACACAAGAGATCTCCCCTATAGCTTATAACAGACTGTTGGGGCAAGTGCTGTTAGTGAGCATCTATGAAGGCTGCCATGGCACACTAAGGGATGGGTGGCCAGCACCACACCCGGCCGCCTTTGTCTCACCAGTAGCAATGTTTGCACACCGCACCAGGTACTAATTTGAGGCTGAGTCGACCTAGGGGAGGCACAGGACCGATTCAGATTATCATCACTGATGTTGGCCGTGAGCGGGAATCGAAACTCGGGTTCGTAGCGCAGCGTGCTAACCGCTACGCCACCACACACCTACCCGCTGCACTGCTGCCGCCTCCAAGCCACAGCTCCATCAGCTTTGGTGGAAGTTTCGTAAATCTGCTCGATCCACAGACCCGCACTGGATCACAAGCGTGTATAAACTGCAACCCAGCTTCTAAAACCACTCATGCGAGATGCCTTCAATTCTTCGTGCCATATTCAACGGCTCACTCGCAAAAAGTTAATCCGCAGGTGGATTCAGCCACCTGTCGCAACTCAAGTCTGCTTTAGAATCTGAGTTGGTCTAGTTTCCGCCCAAAGAAACGCAGCATATGGGTTAAACTTTAAATCTCAAAGCACTTGCTTTGCGACGCATTCTCTTAAAACAATGGAAAAAAAACTGGAAACAATTAAAATTTTTCCAGGTAAGGCCCACTGAACTATATAGCTCTTTTCAGAAGCGACTTGGCGATCATAAATGATAGCTCAACGAAGTGGCTAAATTCTAAATGTGATGGAGAAAACCCGGAGGATGCGGACAAAAATCCATGTGACCACAGGGAGAGAGACACGCAAACTCCAAATAAACAACAGCAGGCGTCAGGTTTTGGATAAAACGCATGACTTCCTGCTACCAGGCGAGGTAGTTAACATCTAATAGCCACCGTGGCACCCTGTTCTCCTGCACAGACCACACATGCGCCACTCCAGTGGACACCGTGTCACAGCACAGGTCTCTCCACCTCGGCCTGCCAAGTGTGACGAGTTCCCAGCTCTGTTTACCTCTTGCATGCTTCAAAGTTTAGTCTCCGATGCATCCTCATTCATCTGAATGGCAGCTACATTTTACACTCTACCTAAACCCAAACTTCATTGCGTTTCACACGTACGTATGTACAAACTGTTCTCCTATAACGCCGGGTGTTTTAATTTTATATTTATCACATTCCTGCGGAGGGAGCTGGTAAGAACGTTGGGTTGTTCGGTCAATGGCGGCGTGGTGTTCCGCAAATATGGCCGACTGTGAGGGCGGGCACAAGCCGGCGTGAGTAGGTTAAACGTTGATCAGGGCACCACGGGGTGACCAGCCCCTCCCCACCCAGCCCCTCCCCACCCTCCCATCCCAGCCCCTCCCTACCCTCCACACCCAGCCCCTCCCCACCCTCCCCTCTCCACCCAGCCCCACCTCTCCCATTGTTGGATGCACGACGGACGGACACAATAATCCCCTGTGGGCTGGTGTAACCAGGAGGTTCCTACCAGTATAATACGATTAATTTATTGGGGAACATATTCTCTTTGGTTCTTTCGGTAAAGTCACGTAAGTAGAAAAATCTAATTAAAAAAATAATATATCACGACGTTTCGATCGCAACACAAGAGGTCATCCTCATAAATAAAAATTCATCCAGCAGGTCCACTGCTGGATTAATTTAATATATTATGTTTATTTTAATTTTATTCTTCTACCTACGTGACTTTACTAAAATAACCAAAAAGTATGGATTCCTGCAGTCACGAAAGCCTCAAATCAAGATTGGGGAACAAATTTTATAACACGAATTGGATATAATGCATGGAGTGAACGGAACTTTGTCGCGCGAGTAGGAATAATGCTTGTACAGCTGCCTCGACATAGCATCGTCGCACAAGGAATTGGGATGCTGCTGGATGCTTCTATATGCTACCCACGCATGTCAGTCTTTGTTCAGGCTGCATACACATCTCAAGCATTATTGCGGACTGTGCTTTACCCCCTATATTATATATATTATTAATTATAACGCGATTTTCCCATAATGGAATATATACTGAACTTATTTTGCATCGTACGCAGCCAACCGCGCTCATCGGAGGTACGGGCAGGCGGACAGGCAGTGAAGGATGACAAAATAAACACAAAAAGAAAATGTCAACTCAACAAAGTGGTCTTCACACCTGATGAGGCTGAGTTGTAATTACCGGCGAAACATCACGGTACTCGAATTGTAAATATTGTGTGGGTTTACTCTCCAACAAACAATTGGTTAGTGTGGAACTAATCACTAATTGTCACGTTTTGTTTACGTAACAAACCTTGCTAATTGGGCTGCATCGGGTGTGTTTGCGGGTTTGACGACACCATTTATATTCACGCGATCTAACCCATCAAAAAACCTCTATCCGGACATAAAAAGCCGTGGTAAATAAATAAGTTCTCAATCAGCCGGCCTGTAATCATCAGCGGTCCGCGGACCTCCTCACCACGTTGTGGATGACGTTGGTGAGCGTCCACACGACTGGGACGCTGACGAAGGGGATGGAGAGCAGCACGACGTGCAGCAGGAGCACGGCCAGCACGTACGAGAGCCACATGCCGCGGCTGTTCATGACGCGCGTGTTGGGGTTCACCTCGCTGTGCGCCACGCCGACGTTCATCGCGACGGCGGTGGTGGGGCCCCCCAGGGGGGCGCTGGTCGAGCGCTGCTGCCGCCGCTACTGCCGCTGCTGCCGTGCGCTGCTTTCGCTGTCGACGCAGAGCACAGCGATGGCACGGGGAAATGCGGCAAAATGTTACAGATTCGTACGCGTGTGTGTCTGTTTGTATATGTCATTCCTTCCCTTCTCTACGCTTGCGAAACATGGACCTCCTAATGGAGCATCTTCGCCGGTTGGAAACATTTAGGCTGGCCTGCCTACGATCCATCCTGGGTTTAACCAGGCTGGATTGTGTGAGGAGCTCACAAATCATTGAAAGATCTGGGCAAAGCCCCATCGGTGAGCTCCTCCGGCAGGCAAGGCTGCGTTGGCTGGGTCATGTAGCCCGCATGCCCAGCCACCGCATGCCTAAACAGCTTTTGTTCGGCTGGATCGAGGGGGCTAAACGGGCGCGGCACGGGCTAGAGAAGAGATGGAGTGATGTGGTACAGGAGAACGTGGAGCTGAGTGGACTTGCCGATGACTGGTACCAGCGGTGTCAAGATCGGCCTCTGTGGAGGAGGCTCGTGAAGAACGCTACTGGGCAGTTGGAGGCAGTCGCCCTCCAACAACAACAGAGGGCGGAGGAGCGACGCTCACAACAACGAGCGGAGCGCCGGGTGGCTAAAGCATAGCAAGTTGGTACAGTAGGGGGCACAGGTGGTGCATCAGCCAATCATCTTGGTCATCTCGGTCAGTCGACCCGTGACACCTGGGTCTGCCCCGTGACCTCCTGCCAGCGGGCGTTCGACACTTCACGTGGCCTCAAGATGCACTTGGCCTGGCACAAGCGTCGTGGTGACGTCACCGCCACTTAGTGGCGAATGGCGGTTGTTGTTGTTGATATGTTTGTCTGTGTATGTTGTGTAAGTATGTTGAACTTCTTTCGCACTGTACGTAGCCAACTGTGCTAATCGGAGGTGCGGGATTAGAATCGCACTGTGCTCATCATTAAAACAACGATCAGTGACGTTTGTCTGTCAGCACCACAACAGAAAATGAATAGCACTCACGGAAGAGGAACGGTGTGGCACAAGGGTGAGCTGAGTTGGCATCAGAGAGCGAGAACACGACGCACAAAATACACAGGGGGTCTTCGATCAAACTTGACGTTTCATTCATCTTCCCCAGGATGTGTGTGTGTGAGTTAGAATGGAATATGTTTAGATAAGCAAAATACCCCGACACGGGTTTGCATTTCAATGGATGGCATCAGCATTGGCGTGGCCTTAAATGAAGTCGACAAAGTAACTGCAGGTAATTTCTTTGGCAGACTTTAGTCGAGTCGAAACAGGTATGGATAAAACTTTTCTGTGATACCACAAACTTTAGATACAGCAGAATCTCGATTATCTGCGCTAATGATGGGGAGGGCGACCGTGGATAATTCAAAATCGCAGATAATCCTAAAATATACATTTTCCGCGGATCTCCATTCCAAAAACCACTGATATAAGTATACATTATCTATAAGTTTATCTGCAATCGCACAGTTTAGTAAATTAAAACTCACAAAATTATCGGATAACTTACTCAAAATGAAGCACAACTGACGATTTCGATTGTTACTCTTCGATTTAGAACGAATACCCACGGTCGATGCGCGTGCTCAGTGTTAACACGTGGCCCACTAAGTGGACAGCAGAAGAGCCACGCCAATCAACATCAAACTCTGCCCACTGTTGTAAAAATATGGCAACTACTGTACTGTAGGGCCGATCACGTGGATTTCGGATTAACCGAAGCACATATTTCTTCGGTTTAAGCACATGACTTGTAATAAACATTTCCAAGAATAATGTGTATAAGTGTTTTTAGATGATTAATTTGGGCTTAAGGGAAAATCCACGAGTTATTCATTCATGTCAAAATCTCAGGTGCACAGTTCATCAGCTAAACCGCACGCGGATAATCGAGTCTACCGTGCGTCAAATTATGTTAACTACAAAAATCACAGGACGCCATTGCGTACAGAACTCACACTTCGTATAAATTTCGGAAGGCCGAAACCCTAACAAGGCCAAGTTAAACAGAAACAGGTGAATATATAAAACTTATATATTATATGAAGATGGTCCTTTCACTTTCACGGCGTCAGGCACTCCCAACAATTGAGCCGAGCTCGTGGATAGTTCTGCGAGGTTTACTGTCAAATTTGGTCCAACTTCACCCATACAAATCGGGCAGAACGCACTCTCAGCCAAGTCGCATTTCAAACACCCATGTGCCCTTCTGTCTGGTTGACCACGACTGTACGGGTGTGTGTTTTTCATCGGTGCGGGTCGCTAACAGCACTTGCCCCAACAGTCTGTGAAGGCTATAAGGGAATCTTTGTTTTGGCTTTGTGCGTTTGCAATCGCTAAATATGATGCCCTTTACCGGGTGAAAAATTACCAAATTTGAGGAAAGCCTCAGCAAGTCGTCTCTAAGACTTTGTTTTTAGAAGGTTCCTAGAGGATGGGAATGCCTGGTCAATTGCAATAAGTGGTGCTTCGTGTGGAAGGAAATCTAAAATAAAAACCTCACCGCGTGGACACTCAGAGCTGCCGCACAGACTCAACACAAATCCACAACTCTGCTGCCATCTCCTGGCCAATCGACGTCAACAACACGAGGTTACTATCCGGGCAGTTTGACACATCTCGTTAGAACCAAAAAACAAGGTCAAATAATGTTACGAAGCATCGGAGATATTTTATGCTTGAGTAATGTAAAATATGTTCACGAGCTAAATGCGAATCTTGAGATATTCTGCTGTTGCTAGCCACGCTGAGAAGTTCGTGTCGTGTCGCTTGTTCATCCTGGGTTGCATGGCCACACAGTCGTACCACTGCATTTCATGTATGTGTGCCACGAGGTATCTCTGCGAGTTTCTATGGGTTCACTAAATGGTTCCATAGTTTTAGTTCCATGGCCACACAGTGCCACGACTCTGGCTTGTCTGTGACTTGGTCATAAAATGGGCGTACAGTGTGCGTGGGGGTGTGTTGGATGCCTGTGTACGTGTGTAACTGTGTGTAACTGTGTGAATGTGTGTAACTGTGTGTGTAACTGTGTGTGTGTGTGACTTTGTGGGGAGCGGTAGTGTAGCGGTTAGCGCGCTGCGCTATGAACCTGGCGACCCGGGTTCGATTCCCGCTCACGGCTAACACCAGTGACGATTATCTGAACCGGTCCTGGGCCTCCCCTAGGTCGACTCAGCCTTAAATGAGTACCTGGTGCGGTGTGTAAACATCGCCACTGGGGAGACAAAGGCGGTCGGGCGTGGTGCTGGCCACCCACCCCCTCGTGTACCGTTCCGGCCTTCATAGGTGCTCGCTAACAGCACTTGCCCCTACAGTCTGTTAAGGCTATACGGGGGATCTTTATCTTTGTGTGTGACTGTGTGTGGCAGTGGCGGCTCGTCAATAGAGGGCGCAGGGGCGCCGCCCCCATCAATATTCAAGAAATATACATATGCAAAATGTATATAAAAATACATAAATAAAATATTTTTTTCATACGATGTGCCGGCTGGTAGTAAGAAAAGCATCAGCATTTAATAAAAACTGGCTTTAATCGGTCAACTATTTTCTATGTTTTTCAATGTGTTTCATGCGGGGCGCCGGACAAATGGATGTCTATGTGAGACTTTACATTTTCGGACAGCATGTGACCTGAAGCTGGTCTCTAATTGGTTTCTTAAAGATTCTCCTCGGGGCGCAAGTCGTTGCGTCCCTGGCCAATCAGAATTGGATACATGTTATTTTATCCAATCTGATTGGTTCTCGTCACCTGTCATTCAAATTTACGCTGTAGGCCACTACTGCGAGTGCGAAGGCGACACCACTTTGACACTTGCTAGGCTGATCAAATTTTTTGTGTAAACAATGGCAGCAGTTCATCCAAATTCTGTAATTTATTTACAAAAAAACCCTTTCACAAGGCTTTCGCTGGAAGAAATAAAAAAGATAAAGGATCTCGGACCGGACCAACCCGATTTACAAATCCAGCAGCAGGCCAGTGACAGAGGACGAAGCTACACACGAAGCTTCACCCGCGCTTGTTATGAGAAACGGAGGTGGCTGGCTGGATGTGATGTTAGCAATTCTCTTTTTTGTTTTCCCTGTCTTTTATTTCAAAGTGTCGGCACTGAAGTTTTGTGGACAACGACGGGGGTAAGAGACCTCAAACATCTCTCTGACAAATGCAAACGTCATGAAAGTAGCTGCAGCCATATTGATAATAGCATGAAACTAACGTTTTTATGTTCAAGTAGGAAACATGCTTTTTGGTACTTTGGTCTGAAATGTATATAAAAGAGAAACATTTATGTTCAAGTAGGAAACATGCTTTTTGGTACTTTGGTCTGAAATGTATATAAAAGAGAAACATTTATGTTCAAGTAGGAAACATGCTTTTTGGTACTTCTTTTGGTCTGAAATGTAAATAAAGATCATCAAAATTTATATTCAAGTAGTCAAAATGGTTTTTGGTACTGCTTTATATTTATTTGCCCCCCTCAATAAAATAAAAAAAATGCGCCCCCCCAAAAATAAATATCACCAGCCGCCACTGGTGTGTGGGTGTCTGTATGTGACTGTGTGTGTGTAACTGTGTGTGTGAATGTGTGTGTGTGGCTGGCCTTCATAGGTGCTCGCTAACAGCACTTGCCCCAACAGTCTGTTCCAGGCTATATGGGGGTCTTTGTCTTGTTGTTGTGGCTGTGTGGGTGTCTGTGTGTGTAACTGTGTGTGTAACTGTGTGTGTAACTGTGTGTGTGTGACTGTGTGTGGGTGTCTGTGTGTGTGTGGCTATGTGTGTGTGACTGTGTGGGTGTCTGTGTGTGTGTAACTGTGTGTGTGTAACTGTGTGAATGTGTGTGTGTGGCTGTGTGGGTGTCTGTAACTGTGTGTGTAACTGTGTGTGTGTGACTGTGTGTGGGTGTCTGTGTGTGTGTGGCTATGTGTGTGTGACTGTGTGGGTGTCTGTGTGTGTGTAACTGTGTGTGTAACTGTGTGAATGTGTGTGTGTGGCTGTGTGGGTGTCTGTAACTGTGTGTGTAACTGTGTGTGTGTGACTGTGTGTGGGTGTCTGTGTGTGTAACTGTGTGTGTAACTGTGTGTGTGTGACTGTGTGTGGGTGTCTGTGTGTGTGTGGCTATGTGTGTGTGACTGTGTGGGTGTCTGTGTGTGTGTAACTGTGTGTGTGTAACTGTGTGTGTAACTGTGTGAATGTGTGTGTGTGGCTGTGTGGGTGTCTGTAACTGTGTGTGTAACTGTGTGTGTGTGACTGTGTGTGGGTGTCTGTGTGTGTAACTGTGTGAATGTGTGTGTAACTGTGTGTGTGTGACTGTGTGTGTGGAGAACGGTGGCGCAGTGGTCAGCGCGCGGCGTTACGAACCCAGCGACCCGAGTTGGATTCCCGCTCACGGCCAACACCGGTGATGATGATTATCTGCACCGGTCCTGGGCCTCACCTAATCCGACCCAGCCTCAAATGAGCACCCGGTGCGATGTGTGAACATCGCCACTAGGGAGACAAAGGCGGCCGGGCGTGGTGTTGGCCACCGACCCCCCTCATGTGCAGTGGCGGCCCTCAAAGGTGCTCGCTAACAGCACTTGCCCCAACAGTCTGTTAAGGCTACACAGGGGATCTTTGTCTTGTTGTGTGTGTGGTGTTCTTCCGCGAATATTCGCGAATCCCGGTCACGGCCGACAACGCCGGTACCTGGTCCAGGACCTCCCCGAGGTCGACTCAGCCTTAATTTTGTACTGGACAGCTGTGCAAAAACACGCTTCTGATTCTGGAGGGGTGTTCAACTATACCCACTCACTACCCACTCTAGAACCCACTCTACAACCACTTAACTCTCTGTACCCACTCCTCACTCACCACCAACTCTTCCCTGCTACCCACTCACTATCCACTCTACTCACTCTACCCACTCACCACCAACTCTTCCCTGCTACCCACTCACTATCCACTCTACCCACTCACCACCCACTCTACCCTTGAACTCGCTCACCGCACTTGGCCCCCCGGCAGCCCGCGTGGGCCACACGGGGGCTGCGTCGTCTCGAGTCGCCGAGTTCGCTGCCGTCACCAGCGCCGGGGGAAGAGTTCCTTTGATGGCGAGAGCGCGAAGGTGCACCTAGCTTGGCACCGTCCCAACCGACTGCTTGCTGTTACGTGGCTGTGCCAAGTGTAGAAGTACCGTGTTTGTTTACTGCTGCTGCTGTTGCTGTTTGCGCCTCACTCTCAACTCCACTTCCCGAATCAATTCGCCAACTTTTCCCCACGCACCTGCTTCACATTTCCCAGCACACATTATCGGTGGCTCGCAAAGTCCTCGCGCCCTATTGGTCGCCGCCAACCGCCCCGCCCCCCCTCTGGAATCTATCGACCAATAGGAAAGCGAACTTGTCGTGAAGCTGACCCCGCCCCAACCGGCGACCAATGGAGATCGCGGCTTATGCAGACTGCGAAATCAAATTATTTGCGGGGGTTGCTTCCGCATTTCTCGCGCGAGCTCTCGCGAGATTTTGGCCCCTCCCCCCCTCCCCCCGCGAGGTTTTGGCCCCCCTCCCCCTCCCCCCGCGAGATTTTGGCCCCTCCCCCCGCGAGATTTTGGCCCCTCCCCCGCTCCCCCCGCGAGGTTTTGGCCCCCCCCTCCCCCCGCGAGGTTTTGGCCCCTCCCCCCTCCCCCCGCGAGGTTTTGGCCCCTCCCCCCCTCCCCCCGCGAGGTTTTGGCCCCTCCCCCCCTCCCCCCGCGAGGTTTTGGCCCCTCCCCCCCTCCCCCCGCGAGGTTTTCGAGGCTTGGTTCAGCCAGCGGGTCCCGCCCCCAAGTCACCCACGCATCGATTCGATCGATTCTACAGCGCTTTCGGGAGATCCGAGCAATCCGAGAATCGATTCTCAAGAGGAACGAACCCGGCAAGCGGGGGCAAAATTCGCTAATTTCACTGTGGCCTTAACATAAACATCATAATAGCCGACGTTTCGGGCAATGACCCTTCATCATAGCGCATTAATATCTCACATTCGTGGTAGGTTATGTATGTGCTATGAAGATGGGTGATTGCCTGAAACGTCGCCTATTCATTTTTCTCATAAGGCCACATACCGGGTATTTGTTACATGGGACCTTTTTGCCACAAATCAAAGTGTTGAATTGGACCTGGATCTTGTGTTTAATCAGGATTTTGGAGATCTTTTTTGTGACCCCAGCAATGTAGGGTAAGGTGATGGTTTTGAAAGGCTCCTCAAAAGGATCCTTCTTGATGGTTGGAGTGATGGCTTTGCGGATTGTGTAGTCGGAGTAACCATTAGCCTTAAGAGCTTGGCGTACGTGTTTGAGTTCACTGGCAAGGTGTTCCTGGTCGGAGATGCATTGGGCTCTATGGTATAGAATCTTGATGAGGGAATTCTTCTGGGATGGATGGTGGTGGGAATCCGGTTTTAGGTAAGCATCCATATTAGTGGCTTTCCTGTAGACAGAGTGGCTCATTGAACCATCAGGTCTCCTTTTAATTAGGACATCCAAAAAGGGTAGCTTGCATTCTTTTTCGACTTCCATGGTGAATCTGATGGCTGGGTGTATGGAATTGATGTGGTCGAGGAATTGGTCTAGAGCAGGCCGGCCATGTGGCCAGTTGACAAAAGTGTCATCTACGTACCTCTTCCATAAGGTCGGGCGTAGATTGGCAGTCTGGATGGCATCAGTCACAAATTTCTCCATGAACACGTTGGCTACAACCGGAGATAGGGGGGAGCCCATTGGGGTGCCCTCAGTTTGTTTGTAGAAAGTTCCATTCCAGGTGAAGTATGTATTGCTTAAGCAGTGTCTCACCAGGGGGGGTACCCCAGTATTCCGTCCTTGATGAACCAAGTCTTCAATGATTGCGATGGTGTCAGATACAGGAACTTTGGTGAATAAGGAAACCACATCAAAACTGACAAGCAGGTCGTCTGGGGACAGGGAAATTTCCTTGATTGTCGATACCAGGTCAGTAGAGTTTAGTACTTTGTCAAGGCGCTCTTCCCCTTCCAACCCAGCTTAAATATACGCTCCAAGCGTGGTGGTGTTTCATTCAGACGCTGTCTCCCCGACAGACCTGGTCTTCACCTGAGGACGGCTGCTTGCGTTGTGGCCGAAAAGCCGTGAGAATTATTTTATTGTTTTATTTTATTATTTTATTTCCCTTCTACGTGACTTTACCGAAAGAACCAAGGTGGTGGGAAATGTGAAGCGGTGCGTGGGGAAAAGTTGGCGAGATCAGTTACATTACTGGATTATATTTTTCCGCCTGAGGACGACCGCTTGTGTTGCGATCGAAAAGTCGGGATTTATTTTATTTATATCTACGTGACCTTACCGAAAGAACCAAAGAGTATGGATTCCTGCAGTCACGAAATCTTCAAATCAAGAGCGAACCTGATTCCTTGCAAAATGTTTCAATTTGGTGAATGAACATCTGAACACCTGTTTTATTGCCAGAAAGGGTAAAACCTATAATTTGTTCATGTTGTTCTTGACATGACACGTGTTGGCTTGTAGTTGTACTACTGCCAACGCAGCAGCATCACCAGATCTTTCAAGTTAAGATAACTCCACATTTACAACAAACCAGACACGCAACATGGACACACGACATTAGCTGCGTCGTCCCTGCAGCTTCGTATATCGAAACTTCGTATGTCGAATAACTTATAACGTTAGTTCAACGAGGATGCGTTCCCAGCCTTCGTAACTTTGCATTTTCCATCCTATAAATGCTTCATAACTTACCATTCGCATTGTAAACAAAAATTTGTTTTAATTTAATTCACGGTGGAGGTTACCCTCGAGCACAAACCCAAATATTGATACTGGACATGTGAAAAATTAATGGACATGTGAACAAAGAGCTTCGGAGCTCATCGGATTTCTCCAGGCTAAGATTCAGATAAAATAAAGATTCTCATTCTGATACAACTACCGAGGACAATGGAACTCCAGTAGCCAGCGGCCTCTATGAATTATATATGTCGTGAGAATTATTTTATTGTTTAATTTTTATTATTTTATTATTTCCCTTCTATGGGACTTTACCAAAAGAACCAAGAAGAATTATATACTTTCGCATAATAGGATCGACACACCCCTCAAGCGACCTGGCCACAAATGATAGCTCAACGAAGTGGTTTATGTGAAAATGTATAGCAGCCAAATACTCCAAACACGTGATGTTGATTCTAAATGTGGAGGGAAAAACTGGACTCGGAGAAAAATCCACGCGACCACGGGGAGAGAGACATGCAAACTCCAATTACTGTATACAGCAGGCGTCAGAGTCGGGATCGAACCCAGCAGCTCCTACATACCAGGCGATGTAGTTAACATCTCCTAGCCACCACCAGATCGTGGGTTGTGTGCGAGTCACTAGATTCTTCAAGCCCCAGTCTCTCCGGACCTATGGCCATGTGGTGGCAAATTCTTCCCCCCAATCGCACTCCGAGTCACCCGGACGTGGTCACTCAGTTCTACGCTCACCGATCATCTGCGAGTATGCAGATGCGAGAGTGACCCACAAAGTGGCAGTCAATTCACCTCTTTGTCAGTCGGCAAATTGGGAGCCGCTGAAATCAACGCGTCACATTTAACAAATGCTCGGCTTTACTTGATGAAACATCGGCAAGGCATGGCCTGTTCAACCGATGACAGCCTGTTGTCATGGGAGTAGGAACGTGTGTATGTTGAACTTCTATCGCATCGTACGTAGCCAACTATGCTAATCAGAGGTGCGTGGGAAGGACAACTAAAACAAAAATCAGTTCTAAAGAAATGAGTTTGTCAATCTAGATGATTTCAAAGTACATAGCTCCAGTGGCTTCCTAATATCGGAAGGAATAGCATTCCAGACGGCCGCAGCAGCACATCTCAAAGCGCGCGATGTGGTGACCGTCTTTGTTCGACGGTTAGCAGCCAAAAGCCGTTGCTGCAGATAACTCGTTGGGGTAATATCATTATCCGCAAAAAATGTGCTACTCACGAGTACCTCCGGAACGTATCCCCCCACGCTTCTTTATTCATTTCAGAGGGCGATTGGAAAACCAGAGCCGGAGCCAAGAATTGCCCAAGGTCCCGTGGCCCTACATCAGGGGTCCTCAAACTACGGCCCGCGGGCCACATGCGGCCCGCCGAGGACATTTATCCGGCCCGCCGGGTGTTTTTGCCGCCGCTGCCTGTCTGTTACTTTTTTCTGCATGAGAAGGACGGTCATTGGTGGAAGAGGGAGAGGGGGCGGAGTTCCCCCCAATCAGACTGCATTGATGGGCAGTGCAGTCTGTATGTCTCTGTGTGGGCAAAGTTATTGCTGGTAAATTGTTTTTGTAGCGCTGTATATATATTGGTATTTTACTAATATCAATTTTGACTCCCTAGGAAACAATGATGTCAAGAAAGAGAAAAATTTACTCGGAGTGTAGGATATTCAAAGAACAGTGGACTTATGATTACTTTTTCATGCAGTACAAGGAAAGAGCTGTGTGTCTGATATGCCAGAATATAGTGTATGTGTTCAAAGAATACAATTTACGTCGACACTATGAAACTCAACATAAAGATAAATATGATTGTTTGGTCGAAGTGAGAAAAGATAAAATATTAAAAATGAAAAATACATTAACAACTCAGCAAAATACTTTTGTGAAGCAGAAGCAGCTAAATATTTCATCACTGCGAGCAAGTTTTCAAGTTGCCAAGCTAATAGTGTGCACTGGCAGACCATTCGTGGAGGGAGAATTTGTTAAAGAATTCCTTCTTTCTGTTGCCAAAGAGATGTGTCCAGAGAAGGCCGATTTATTTAGTACAGTGAGTCTTTCAGGACCTACAATTACACGGAGGATTGAAGAAATGGGAGACAATTTGCATCAGCATTTGCAAAACTCCACAAAAAAACTTTCCTATTTTTCCTTGGCACTCGACGAAAGCAATGATGTTCGTGATTCTGCACGACTTCTAATTTTTATTCGTGGGACGAATGACTATTTCGAAGTCACAGAAGAGCTTGCTGCACTGCAAAGTATCAAAGGAACAACTACAGGAGAGGATATCTATGAAAAGGTTTGCCAAACTGTGAATGGTTTGGAGCTGAACTGGGCTAAACTAGCCAGTGTGACAACTGATGGTGCTCCTAGCATGGTGGGGTCTAAGAAAGGAGTAATTGCTCGCATTAACCAAGAGATGGACAAACATAACCATTCTCATCCAATAGCCATACACTGCCTCATCCACCAACAAGCGCTGTGTAGTAAATCACTGAAGTGGGACTCTGTTATGAAAATTGTGGTATCTTGTGTTAACTTCATTAGAGCTCATGCACTAAACCACAGACAATTTCAGGAATTTCTGTCTGAGCTAAATGTTGACTATGAAGATGTTCTGTACCACACAGAAGTCCGTTGGCTGAGTCGAGGGAGAGTTTTGAAACGTTTCAATGACTTACTTCCACAGATTACAGCTTTTCTGCTTTCAAAAAACAAAGAAGTACCAGAGCTCAATGATGCAGAATGGAAATGGCACCTTGCCTTTCTGGCAGATGTAACAGAGCTACTCAACAGTTTCAATGTGCAACTTCAAGGAAAGGGGAAGCTCATCTGTGATATGCAATCACATGTCAAAGCATTTGAAGTAAAATAAGGCCTCCTCATCAAACAAGTGAAGGAGGAAAACTTCTGCCATCTCCCCACAACTCAAAATCTGTTAGCAGAAAAACCATTGGTTGCATTCCCAAACAAAACATGTGTGGATTCATTGGAAAAATTGCAAAAGGAGTTCCAATTTCGATTTAAAGAGCTTCATCTCCATGAACAGGACATACAGCTTTTCCGTAACCCATTTTCTATTGACATTGAAAATGTGAATACAATTTACCAAATGGAACTGGCTGAACTGCAGAATTGTGACTCTCTGAAAGACGCATTCAAGTCAAGCAGCCTTCATAATTTCTATGCATCTCTCCCCTCTGAGACATATCCTCATCTCAGGAACCATGCACTCAAAATGGCAACCATCTTTGGCAGCACTTATGTCTGTGAACAGACTTGTACCAGAATGAAACATTTGAAATCTCCAACCAGATCTAGACTAACGGATACACACTTGCATCACTTGTTACGACTTGCAGTGACAAATATGGAACCGGACATTGACCATCTCATTAGCCAAAAGCAGGCCCATAGTTCCCATTGAAATACTGGCAAGTTTGTTGATTTAACTTTACTTGTTCTTCATTTTAAATATTGTATTTGTTCCCGTTTTGTTTCTTCACTTCAAAATAAGATATATGCAGTGTGCATAGGAATTTGTTCATAGTTTTTTTTAACTATAGTCCGGCCCTCCAACGGTCTGAGGGACAGTGAACTGGCCCCCTGTTTAAAAAGTTTGAGGACCCCTGCCCTACATTGTCGATGTTTGTCCCGACTAGGAATAAACGGGGGGGGGGGGGGGGGAGTGTTTATACAAAAAAAGAGATGCAATGTTAAAAAAGTGTCAAAGTGCCACAGTGGGGATCAAGCAGTTAAGCGTTGCCAAAGTCAAGGACGTTTTCCAATGAAATAATCCCGCACCACACCAATACCCGCCATTCGCCACAAACTGACAGTGACGTCACCACGGCGCCTGTGTCAAGCCAGGTGCACTTTGAGGCCACGTGAAGTGTGGAAGGCTCCCTGACAGGTCACGGGACAGACCCAGGTGCCATGGGTTGGCCGATTGAGATTACTGGCTCCGTTGCTCCTCTGCCCTCCATTGCTCCTCTGCCCTCCATTGTTGTTGGAGGGCGACTGCCTCCAACTGCCCAGTAGCATCATTCACGAGCCTACTCCATAAAGGCTGATTTTTACACCACTCAGCTCCACATCCTCCCGTACCGCATCAGTCCATCTCTGCTCCAGCCCACGTCGTGCCCGTTCAGCCCCCCTCTATCCGGCCAAACACAAGCTGCTTGGGTATGGACTGGCTGAGCACACATAGATTCCCACAGCAGCCACAATAAATGTACGTTCACAGTTAACAAAAAAAAAACGCCTTTACTCCTTATTAAATTAAGACACGCTTTGTAAATGTACACGAAATATATATGAATAAGGCCAAGAGAGACATGATCCAAACAGAACTTCGATCCCATTAATTAAAACATTTGGCAACCTGTCCCCTGCACCAAGGCAACATAACACAACCATGTAAACCATGATACACGGAGACGTTGACAATTGTACGAAAAATTAAGTATAGGTACAAAAGAAACGTTCAAATACTTGCAGTGCACCAGGTATCCATCTTAAAACTAGAATTACATTCCTGGTGTGAGGTGTTCTAGATTCAATGACTAACGACAGCTAACTCGTGTCTGAAATCAGCAGCCATGTTCAAAAGCCAAGTTCAAAAGTCATGCCCGTGCAGATTTGCACAAGTTAAAGTCGCCCTGTAGCTGTTTTACCCACATTGCACTGTGCACTTATTGTGTGTGGAACGTTTCGTTCAGAATTAACGTGGACAACGAACCAAATATTGAATGTCAATCAGTATCAACACTGCCGGTCTCTTATCAGCAAGGCACCGACTGTGGATTGTGTAATAAGTTCACCGGGTTAAACGGCAACGCCAGGCAAGGCCAAGGGTCGCCTGTCAAGGTCAAGAGGAGCCCGGCAAGGTCAAGAGGAGCCCGGCAAGGTCAAGAGGAGCCCGGCAAGGTCAACTAGAGCCCAGCAAGGTCAGGAGCCCAAAGGCCGAGTCTCTGCGATGCGCCGGAAGACGGCCGTGAATTTTTCTCCTCCGTTGCGTGTCACCTTCTTCCCCTCCTCGGTGCACTCTCCCAGCTGGCTCACGATGACGTCGTCCTCCTGGCCGCAATCGAACAGACAAGGATGGCGCAGCACAAGTTGAGTTTAGTTTTGCTCCAAAGCTAATGAAAAAAAATTACAAGCAAGACCAAACGGGGCCAAGTTAACGGTCGCACCGCATCAGCAACAACAACAATGGTTCGATTGAAAACTTGCGTTAAGTAGTGCCAGCTAAGTACAGCAATGCAGACGACTCGGGGGAGGCAATGGTGAAACGGATCAACGAGGTAATGGCCAATACAGTACGGAGGGGACACGTGATAATCACGTCGGGTGTGACAACAATTTATTACGCAACGCGTGGCGGTTGGCATGTTTCGCTGCACTTTTGGGCAGGAGTCGTTTTGACTTTTTGGCAAAGTTATACCGTGTGAAACTACTCTGTTGTGGATTTGCTCTCCAACACACCGGTGTGTACTAGTGACGAATTGGCCACATTCTGTTTACGTGACAACCCTTACTAGTTGGCTGTGTCGGGTGGTGGAGGGTTTAACGACACATGTATATATTTATACGATCTAACCCAAAAAAACCTATATTATAAGTGATATTGGTCGCGAGAGCCTACGTGTTAATCTATGGGCAGTGTTGAGTGTATGAGTAGTGTTAGTTTATGGGCAATGCTCAGTCTATGGGCAGTGTGTATGTTGAACTTCTTTCTCATCGTATGTAGCCAAACGTGCTGATCGGAGCGATTCTAGAATTCTTTAATAACTGCAGTAACCCCCAGATTTATGCCCTCCCACTTTACGTACTCTCTCTACAACGTACTCAACTCACCGATACCCAGTCCCTCTTTACGTAATGTGGTACCTCGCCTTAACGTACTACCTTTAAGACCCAGTAGTTTTTTTTGTGCTGCACGGCAAACATTAATGTGCCAGATGGCGACCAAGCGTTAGCATCCATGACTTGCTGTCGTCTCTTCCATGTGACCACACACTCTATTAATATTCCCCACGCGACTATGTTTGCATAAGTGTAATTTTTTTTAAATATGATTAACAACTAATCATAAAACAGGTGACTCCCGACTTACGACCTTTCTTATCGTAAGACCCCCAACAGTAACGACCAATACTCGTGTCTACGACTGCCTAACGACTGCCACCGACGCCGAGTTGATTGGCAACGAGTCTACGCATGGCATGCGCAGACTCGTCGCCTGATGGCGCTGCTTTGCTCTTCTGCCGTTTGCGTATGTACAGTATAACCCGACAGTTTGCGGCTGCATCTAGAGCGAACGCAGTATCTCTTTCGCAACGCGCTTCACTTTTTGTAAATGTTCTACACATTTTTTTCGTCTTTCACTGTCTGAGAATAGAAAATGTGACGCACATGCAGAGAAGTACTTCCGAATTTTCAAATGTGTTTGTTTATACTTAATAAATGTTTGTAAAAGTTATGTTAAGTTACAATAAATGTCTGTTAGGGTTATTTTTTATTTATTTTCGTGATCAATTTATAACATTGCGCATATGGGAAATAAGGATTCGACTTACGACGGCTTGACTTGCGAACATCGTCCAGGAACCAATTAGGTCGTAGGGGGTCGCCTGTACAGGCAGTTCCCGGATTACGGAAGGGTTAGGTTCCCGAGAAGGATCCGTAACCCGAATTTTCCATATATCTGAAACTGAAAAATTTTCCCCCGAAATCAAGATAGAATCCCATAGCCGGAAATAATTGTGTCTCCCTTACCATTTTCTCTCTGCTGTTTCGCGCTGTCGTCTGTTTTTTATCGCTACCTGCATCGTATCACTGTGCATACGCTCTGCACTTCCTATCATTCTTTCATCGAATATCTACCTTAACAATACCCATAATGAAACTAATGGAACAAATACTGTATCCAATTGTTTATGAATACCACGAAACATTTTTATATTGTTAACAGAAAGCAGTCCCTTCCGAATGTTGGTTTACCGTGAATTAGTCTAGCCCTAAACTTCACATACTCTCACACATACATGTGTAGTGACATAAAATCGGTCACGGAGCAGCATCACGCTGGCTGCTGGCAGGGAAGGGGATCTGCAGCTTAAAGCAGCCCTCACTGACAGCAGGCCACGTGATAGACCAGAGAGGCATCTAGGGGAAAGGTTACGCAAGGGGCACATCGAGAACCCGCTAGTAGGTTCCAGAAGGGGGCGTGGCTAGGGGCGGAGCCAGGCCACGCTGACAGTACGAGGGGCCCCGGGAGGGGACCTCTTGGCTGTTGTCTGGAGTGGGATCCCGTCGTGCTGCTGGAGTCTTCGCCGTCGTCGCCGTCTTCACCGTCTCCGCGTCGCCAGTCAGGCAGTCTACCAGCTGTCCTGACTGGGAACCGTAGTTGCTAATGTTACTGTCAGGCCATGTTAATAAACAGAGTGCCTCCTAATCTTAGTGTCTCTGAGTCAGTCACTACACATGCACACAAAGACAGGTGGAGTAGCCTAGTCTACACACACAAATACACACAGTACATACAGTAAATAACGTATTAAATAAACTTAAAATGAAGAAAACTACCAATATAAACATGGATATATATAGTTCAAAGCATACAAAACAAACAATTCCGTAACGCTACAAAATAATCAATTTGCCTCAATCCTAGTGAAGCTCGGGCTCGGTGAAGGCGGCATTTTGGTGTAGCGAAGTGTTACACCTATCTCCGTGGTATTCATCCGCAACCTCACCGCTCTACCCTATTTGCGCTTATGTAAATAACACAAACATTTACGCATATTGCATTTTTTTTTACATGATTTGTGGGAGCATTTCCGTATAGTCTGATTTCCATAAGTGGGGTGTTCGATAACCCGGGGACTGCCTGTACGTATACTATAATGACAAGGTAAAATAATATATCTTAGTCTATCTTAGTTTATCAATAATATAAATGTACTTTTCACACCGATGGTTGTACAGTATAGATGCACATCCTCTGTTTAAATTCAGGTCCTGTACCACGTTACAATCCACCATCCCATCTCTCTAAGCTTCTAACCTCCCATGGCCTTCATTCACGATTAACTGACGCCATAATCTAAACAACTCAACTGGATCTTAGACCCTTGGACACATCGACACCTTTTGCACCCATAAAAACGTTGAACTGGCCAGGTCCCCTGTCATGACATGCAGTGGCATAAGAGCAGCAGCTGTTGCATCTAAGCGCAGCAGGCACCTACTGGAACCCATCTACCTATGTACGGATGTTGAACTTCTTTTGCACCATACGTAGTCGAATCATGCGGAGGAAGGACAACAAATTAAAAGCAAAAAAGCAGTTCTAGTTTGCAATTAGTTTGCAATCTAGACATTGAGGTTGGACAGAAAACACATCGTGAGCAAGAATCGAACTCTGGTCGCCAGGTTGGTAGCACAGCACACTAACCGCTGCACTACCACTCCCTACGCATTCACTTTTACACACACATGTGCATATGTGCACAAAGACAAACATTCACTCCCAGCGTGAGGCCGACTCACCACATCTCACGGAGGATCGCTCCACCGAACAAAATATTTCCATGGTACAGTTTGCAAGTGCCAGTTCGTGTTTTAAGTCAATGTGAAAAAAATGTTTAATGGAAGCCAGTTCGTAAGTGCGGGTGTTCATAAGTACGGGTGTTCCTAAGTGCAGGTGTTCGTAGGCCGGGGTGTTAGTAAGTGCAGGTGTGCATAAGTGGAGGTGTTTGTAAGTCGAGGACTGCCTGGACACTCAATACTAGACTTGACTTTACCGAACGACTTTACCGAAATACCCAAATAATATGAATTCCTGCAGTCACAAAAGCTTTAAGTCAATATTTAACCACCTCTACGGGGGAGTGTTTCCACACAACTATAAGATCTTTTAACAAACTTCGAGACAAGAAGGCTCATCTGATCGAGTCACTCACTTTTCTGAAGAGATGCCGCGACACTAAGGTAATACCAATCGCCTTTACATTGACATCTGCTGCTGTCACATCTCCTTTACACTGACTGCTGTCACATCTCCTTAACACTGACTGCTGTCACATCTCCTAATGCTAAACGGATCTTGTTCAGGGCAGACTTGGCCCTGATCCCAGAGAGAATAAGATTGCTCCGATTTGAACTAGATATTTTTATTATAATAATGCTAATGCAATTCATAACGCGCGCAAATTTGCGGACGTAACGGCCGCAACTCAGAGGTGCAGAGCCAAGCTCAGTCACTCGAAAGCGTGGTTGTAGAGGTGAGTTTTTAAGTGTCTCTTGAGGAGATGATTGAGGTGATGCTGCGAATGTGCAGAGGGATTGCGTTCAAGACTGTTGGGGCAGCCACCGATAAGCGGTGCATCGAAGTGACCATCCTAGATCTTCATTCCAAGAGGAGGTCGTGAGTCGCACTGCGAAGGCATCAGCCGTGTGCTGTGCTGCAGGTCGTCAATAATGAAGAGAGGTATGGGAGGCAGGCAGATGTGAAGGCATGGTGGCAGAGGCAGGCGGTCTTGTATGTGACCCTGCTGGCAATGGGTAGCCAGTGGAGGGCATGGAGACAAGCGAATGAGTCGAGACGGGGATGAGTGCGGCCAATGGCGATGCGTGCCAGGTTATTTTGTAGTCTTTGAAGTTTTTTGAGGTTGCCAGAGGAGGACCGGACGAGGACAGAGTTGCAATAGTCGAGGCGAGACCCAACTATGCAACATGCCAATGTGTTGGCAGTTTCAGTGAAGATGAGAGAACGTAGGTGTCTGAGAGCCTTCAGGTGAAAGTTACATGAACTGATGATATGATTTGTTTGATGGTCGAAGGATAAAGTTGAATCTAGAATTACACCGAGGTAGCTGAAGTGATCGGTGAACCTGATGCTGTGACCAAAGATGTGTATGTGTGTTGGGAGCGCGGATGAGTTGAGACGTTGCCTGGTACCTAACATGATGGCCACTGACTTTGATGGATTAAGGGCAAGGTTGTGTGCGGAGAACCACTGTTGTAGGGCAATGGTGCATTCCGAGAGCCTCTCAAATCCAGACGGATTGGTAGAATTGATGGCGGTGAACAGAATAGTGTCGTCCGCATATGAGTGGTGCTTGACACCGAAGCTTGTGACGAGGCAGCCAATCGGGGAAGTGTAGGCTGTGAACAGCAGGGGACCGAGGACGGAGCCCTGGGGGATGCCACATAACGCTTTTGTTTCAGGAGATGTGGACGAGCCCACCCTGACTGAGGATTGCTGATCAGAAAGGTATGACAGTATCCACTTGAGTGCTGAGTCACATATACTGAAGTCATATTTCAGGAGGGAAGTAAGGAGCGAGTGGTTGACGGTGTCAAAGGCTGATGAAATGTCCAGACTTACAAGAGCAACGATGGAGCCGGAGTCAATCATCATTAAAATGTCATCGAGCACTCTGGTGAATGCTGTTTCTGTGGAGTAGTTTTGAGAGTAAGCTGACTGGAAGGAGCAGAAGTTTGGGGAGGAGGTGATGTGGGGTTTTAGCTGGGCGAGGGTGAGTCTTTCGAGGAGTTTAGAGAGGTTCGAGAGATTAGTGATGGGACGATAGCTAGACGGGTCATCAGGGTCGAGACTTGATTTCTTTAATAGGGAGGAAACCAGGCCAGATTTGAGGTTGGACAGAAAACACATCATAGCGAATGAAGCATTTGTGATGTTCCTGATCATGATGGCGAGTTCTGGAGCACATTGCTTGAACAAGGAACCTGGGAGGACGTCGAGTGGAGATGACTTCATGTGAAGTGATTGAATCAAAGGGAAAATGTCTGTTGAAGACACCGGCTTGAACATGGTTAGAAAGGTGTCTGGGTGAGTGCTTACAATTTCAGAAAATGGGAGCGGGGTACGATGGTGCGATATGAGGGAAGACGTGCAGGAGTTTGCGATGGTGATCAGCTTGTTGGTGAAGTAAGTTTTGAAAGAGGTGGCAAGTTTCAGTGAGGCCAGGGGATCACTAAGGTGAGGGACCATGTTGCTACCAGGATGTAGAAGATCCTTTAGGGTTTTCCAAAGGATGTGTGGTTTTCTGGTAGCTGTTTTGATGCGTTCTTCAATGTAGGGGGAACGTGAGGCAAGGATAACTCTCTTTGGTTCTTTCGGTAAAGTCACGTAGAAAGAAAATAAATTAAATAATAATAGAATACGACGTTTCTATTGCAACACAAGCAACCGTCATCAGGTAAGAATGAATGAGAAAACAAACCTAGTAAACTTAGATATATAATGCAATACAACACAGAGAGTCGGCTAACACAACATTCAACACCCTACCTGGTTGATTACGTTCTCTCAAATTTAGCAATCTTTGGAAGAAGATCCGAAGAGGCACGGCGTCGAGAGATCAGAGGAAATAGCTGGTTGAAGGTTGACCTGTGAACAGCGGCCCCTACCACCTCTGCAACCATGGTGCCGATACAGTCTCTGACATTGACTGCGAAGAAGCCCGAGGCCAGAGAGCGTTCTCAGGAGTGCGGATTCCAGGTGCAGGTGATGAAGAGATGGTGCATGTCGAAGCCCTATTATATCAGCCCATGCTGTATGGGTGGTGGTGTTGGGGGGGGGGCACGATTCGGGTGGACTCCGATCAGCGGCTGTGCTGCCCGGAGAAGCAAGTCCAGGTAGTGGTGTCCAAGATACACGCCGTCAGCACGCGCTTCCACGCACGTGGCGGGTGCGTACACGCCTACGTGAACACTCGTTGAGCACGTACACGGGCGGACACGACCACGTACGTGGCGCGTACAATGGAGCGGGCAGAAGAACACGAGGTCAAGTGGAGTAGCTGACCACGGGCTATGCTCCAGCTCGCAGGTGAAGCAGCAGGGTGGACGAATCTCGTCGAGCTCCCATTCACTGGTGGTGCTGGGCAGCAGGCAAACCCACTCTCCCGTGTTGAGCAGTGGACAGTCTGCATCACGTTCCCACTCGCTGGTGGTGTTGAGCAGTGAATGGAACACGTCGAGCTCCCACTTGCGATGCTGAAGCTTGCTAAGCTCCCACTCACTGATAGAGGTGGAAGAGGTGCCTTGTGAGGACGACGCTGGCAGGAAATGGACCCAGGGCGGCTGATAAGCTGCACTGCGTGAACAGTGCAGCCAGCGTCCTCCATTTTGGACGACTCTCTTTAAATCACACTTAACATTGACGGAAAAAATGTCTACATCTGATTGGGAACATGTAGATAACATGACAGCCTCTTCAGCCGCCTCAATGTTAGATTAATGCAAAGATAACCTGATTTCTGAGTTCAACTTCCTTTCCAAGAAGAAGCCAGATCCACACGTAAAAAAGGTAGACATTGACAAGATTGTTATCAATCAAAGTAAGTCTAATTTCCGACAGCCCAAAATCGGTTCTAGCTAAAGGGTTGAATTTCGCAGTCACCCCTTAACACATCCCAGTGGATGATATCATTGTAAACGTGGCAAGATCGAAAATCGCTGCAATCCTCAAAAATGCTAAGACACCTATCAGCAACATCAGTAAGGATGAGCGTTTTGAGCTGTTTCAATAAAAAAAGAGGGATGACATCATCATCCTCTCAGCCGACAAGGGCAACGTCACGGTCAGCATGGGCAAAACCACATACAATAACAAAATTCAGGATCTATTTAATGAAGATAGCGATACAAAAATTAAAAGAGATCCCACTAACAGCCACGTTACGAAAACCAACAATATCATCACTGATTCGACATCTTTAAATCGAACCAACCAACCAAGCGGTTTTCCTTAAAACCCTCTGCTGCTAGACCACCCAGATTGTATGGCTTACAAAAAATCCATAAAGAAGGTACACCACTCCATCCTATCGTCTCCACCATTGACTCACCCACCTACAAACTGGCCCGATTTCTGTCTGAGACCTTACAACCATTCACTGGTAAGACTGCCTCAGCTGTACTTAACTCAGTTCACTTGCTATCGTTAATTAAGGACATCTCACTATCTCCAGGTGATTTGCTCGTTAGTTTTGATGTAGTCTCTTTGTTTACCAAAGTTCCTGTGCCTGACACCATTGCAATCATTGAAGATTCGGTCCAACAAGGACTGAATGCTGATGTACCGGCCCTGGTTAGACACTGCCTCACCAATACTTACTTTACTTGGATTAGAACTTTCTACAAACAAGTTTAAGGTACCCCAATGGGTTCTCACTTATCTCCGGTTATAGCCAATGTTTTCTTGGAAAAATTTGAGACAGACGCCATCCAGGCATCCACTCTATGTCCGTTCCTGTGGAAAAGGTACATAGATGACACGTTCGTCATCTCACCACATGGCCTGCCAGCTCTGAACTAATTCCTCAACCACATCAATTCCATACACCCAGCCATCAAATTCACCATGAAGGTGGAAAAGGATGGCAAGCTACCATTCTTGGATGTTTAATTCGAAGAGACCAGATGGCTCAATGGGCCACTCTGTCTACAGGAAAGCAACCCATACGGATGCCTACTTAAAACCTGACTCCCACCACCATCCATCCCAGAAGAATTCCCACATCAAAACTCTACACCACAGAGCTCAATGTATTTCCGACCGTCATCACCTAGCCAGTGAACTGGAACACGTACACCAAGCTCTCAAGATGAATGGATATTCAGACTACACAATCCGTAATGCTATCACCCCAACCGTTGGGAAAGAACCATCTGATGACCCAATCAAAACCATCACCTTGCCATACATAGCAGGGGGTCACCAAAAAGATCTCCAAAATCATGAGCAAATACAAGATCCAGGTTCAATTTAACACGGTACATACAATTTGTGATCTGATCCCATCTGTGATGGATGTGATCCCTGACATGCAATACCCCGGCGTCTACAAACTAAGCTGTGTCTGCGGCAATAGTTAGATTTGGGGAAACTAAGCGACATTTCTCGGACCGTGTTCGTGAACATAAGGCAGATCTAAAACACGGTAGGACCGATACCTCAGCCATGGCTGATCATTGTTTTAATGCGGTGGGCTCACAAGAAATATATTTCTCGAAGACAAAGGAACTTTGTGAACCCACTGGCTATCAACAAAGATTTGTTCATGAAGCCATCCATATATACAGACATCCCATCTTCTCAACCAAGAAGATGGGTACAAACTCAGTAATCACTGAAAGGACGTTATCAACCAGTTAAAGCCATAACTGGCTGTAATGTTTCCATTTTAGACCTGGCAGCCCTTTAATTGGTGGAAGCCCACCACCAGGACCATCACTGCCCACTACTACAATCACCTCTTACACCGCCCCACATGCTGGGGCACACCATTTTGAATCCCTTACATTAACATAAGCTACCCCGCCCATGCTGCTGACACTGGCTATGCCCATTTTAAACCTTTATAAACAGTTTGCCTTTAGAGGCTAACCCCCTTTTCCTAATGACCACCGCTTGTGTTGCGATCGAAACGTCGTAGTTTTTGGTTATTTTCTTTGAACCTATCTACGTGACTTTACCGAAAGACCCAAAGAATATGAATTCCTGCAGTCATGAAAGCTTTAAGTCAAGATTTAACCACAAGCTACTTTACACTACCATAATGTACTACTGTAGTGGACAGTATTCCAAACATTGAATGTACAAACATGCACACATAAACACGCAGACAAGTGCACAAACGCGTGCGATAAAGAACGGACACCCGAGGAGACCCCAACAGCGCTCGCTCACCAACTCATCGAGGGGAACGTGATGGAAGAGTGGGTGTTCCTCAAAATGCTTGAGCATCCACCGGTGGACCTCATGCACATCCGTGATGGTGTAGACCAGACCCTGGGGGGCAAAATCCGCACACACACACCATTGTGTGCAATGGGGCACAATATAAACGTATATGTCCAAATTGTATTGTTGCTGCTGTGTACTACTAACAGCCTATTCCTTCTGAAATCTATTCTTTCTCATCGCAACAGAGACAAACACGTACGTACAGTAAAACCTTTGTTCCGGAAATGTGCTTGTAATCCAAAGTACTCGTATATCAAAGCGAATTTCCCCATAAGAAATAATGGAAACTCAGGTGATTCGTTCCACAACCAAAAAAAAAAAATTCATATAAAAATGATTAATACAAAATACCTTTTTAGATTTTTATTATTTAAATTAAATAGAAAGTAATCAAATGTATAAATTAAATTTTAATCTTGGCAGGTGTGAGGGAGACGAGAGAAAGGAGAGGAGGAGGGGGCTATTGTTGCAGTACAGTTACTAAACAACAGTCACTACACTTTGGACACAAAATAAAAAAATGCTTTACGCACACACACACACACGCGGTCACAACACTATAGTAAACAGTATACGCTCACACGAATGTTGACTATACGAGTGAGGCACACCGACTGAGACTGAGCATGGGAGATGATTACCCACAATCCCGCAGCGAGAGAGAAGAACCATCGGCTCAGTTGTGATCACGTGACGCTCGGCAGACAAAGCGTATACTGTACGTACTACTCGTATTGCAAGACCTCGCTCGTTTATCAAGTAAAAATTTATCCCAAAAAAATTCTCGTCTTGCAAAACACTCGCAGACCAAGTTACTCGCAATCCAAGGTTCTACTGTATATCTGTATGTTGAACTTATTTTGCACTATACTTACACACACATGTAAACACTTGGACATGGTATGATGGAGGAGGTATTTAAGAGTAATTTGGCAGCTATGAATTTCCACGTGATGATAAGCCACTTAGTTCAGCTATCAAATGTCACCAGGTTGCTTCTAGAAAAGAGCTATACATCTCAGTGGACCTTTAAATGAACATCTTTGGAAAAATTACTTTATAGCTCATCGGATTCCTCCAAAATAAACATTTTGACATTGTATTAAATAATTTACTTTTTTTATTTAGTTTCAGTATTACCCCAGGTCGCAAGATGTATGCGTATTCAGCGAGCAGTGTCGGGCTGATGATTCGCCACTTGTGCTTGGTCTTCTTGAAGTGGGGGTCCGGGAACAGGAAGAACATCTTGCTCAGCTGTCAGGGGGGGTGAGGGGTGCAGAGAGCAGAAGCAGGTTAACACGCTAACCAACGTGCCACTTCGCTAAGTAACAATATAAGTCTTGTCTCAAATGTTTCACAGGCTGGGAGTATACGTGGAATCCTTTGTCATCCGCAGCGAGCTGTCAAATCACGAGGACAATTTTAGGGCAATCATCACTCCCACCAATGTTTGATTGCAAGAGCTTTTAGAATTCAGTTGATCATCGATTATCCGGCACGGGATTATCAGGCTTCCAACATAATCTGGTGGTCCTGGGCCGATCCGGCGAAACCGCCTGAAAGGCTGTAACCAGTCCAGACCTACTTTTTGTGCATGACAAAAAAAGTAGGTCTGCTTTATTTCAATGTCGTTATTATATGCAGTACATTATACACGACATACAACTTAAACTATGAAAAAACTGCACGTATATACATCACCCCATGCGGAATCTTCTAGATTCTAGTGGTAAGTACGCTATAGTAAATACTGTAACGTTCTAAAGTAGAATATTTTCATCTATTTGTATGTTTATTTATGCCAATTTCACATAGTTAACTAATTTAAAACACAAAAAACAGAAACCCAACACCTAAAACATGTCATCCAAGAATGTGCAAAAACAGGTTATTTTAAATAATGATTTTATGGAAATTTTGAAAAACCGGTGTCTCTGGTGTGGACCAATCAGTTTCAAAGACAATGCACATATTATCAGAGTATGCTTTTTGTTTGCATTCTGACCACAAGTATTGTGGTTAATGCAGACATGATTCATTGTAAAAGGTTTCAGATTGGTGTTTTAACATCTTAACACCTGTTTTATTGCCAGAAAAAAAGCGGAAAACCTGTTCTCATATTTTGGTACCGGCAAAGGAGGTCCCATGTTGCTCACAACCTGTTTAATATGCCAAAATAGTGACAGCGCCGACTGCTGTCCAGCAGCAACAACCGCGGTGGACACTCAGCACACCCGCCGTCCAGCATATACACGGCTGTGCGTGCCGGCAGGGCAGAGGAACTGGGTCAAGGGTCACGGTAGACCACATAGGAAGTACCCTGGAACCCTCTGATGGGTTCGAGAAGGGAGGCGCAGCTAGGGCGGAGCCAAGCCGAGCCGAGGAGAATAAAAGCAGAAGAGAGCGAGAGCTCCGGGCTGCCGGTTCTGGGAGTGGACTCGTCTCGTCGTCGCTGTCGTCGTCGCCGCCACCTTCGCCCGATCATCGCGTGGCCGGAGAGTAGTTGGTTGTCTCGGTCAACACCGTCGGTGAAACGCGGACAGGGTCGTGTCTGGGCCAGGCTGTATGGCAGCATGGTCATGAGAGAGGAGGCCGGAGTTGGTGGTGTGAACGAGATAATAGAGATGGTGCTTCCTGCAAATACCTCGTCTCCGACCGAGTGTGTGCGCCACACACCACAAGGAAGGGGGAAACTACACCCGCACCGGAGTCATAATTGCTTACAGTAAATGCTTTGTCGGGTGACAACTGCCATAAAACTGCCCCACCACATCGTGGCCTTTATCTATGTACTTTGAACTTCTCATGTATGTATGTTGAACTTATCATGTATGTAATAATAATTTACATTTAATTGTAAGGCGCCTTCCACTAATGTCTCAAGGCGCCTTGTAAGATTAAGGTTAAGGATAGGTCAAGAGGGGAGGTAGAGCTAAATAGAATAAACGAACTTAAGAAAATGTGTTTTTAAACGCGGTTAAATGAATTTCCAACGGTAGGGAATTCCACAACCGAGGCGCAGACACAACAAATGCCCGCTCACCCCAGAAACACAGCCGGGATCAAGGTATGCACAGAAGAGCAGAGTTTGCAGATCTTAAAAACCATGAGGGGGTGCACGGATGGATTAGCTCATGAATATATGGTGGTTAGTGCCAGCCCATGCAAGGCTTTAAAAAGTAGGTTCTTAAACTCTACTCGTTTCAAGACCAGTAGCCAGTATAATGATAAGAGAACCAGAGAAATGTGGTGACGTAGTTGGGTACGGTTCGGTATGTACGTTGAACTTCTCACGTGTGTATATTGAATTTCTAATGTATGTGTAGTGGCATAGAATAGTAATGTAGCAGCATAGCGCTGCCTGCTGGCAGGGAAGGGGATCTGCGGCTTACAGCAGCCCTGACATCAGCAGGCCAGGTTATACTCCAGAGGGGGATCACGGGGAAAGGTCACAGAAGGGGTACACCAAGAACTGTTGGTAGGCTCCAGAAAGGGGGCGTGGTGGGGGGCAGAGCCAGGCCACGCTGACAATATAAGAGGGGCCCCTGTAGGGGACCTCAGGGCTGTCATATGGAGTGGGATCCCCGTCGTGCTGCTGAAGTCTTCACCATTCTTCTCGTCGTCATCACCATCCTTCTTGTCGTCGTCTCCGTCTTCACCATCTCGGGGCGTCATCAGTCAGACAGCCTACCAACTGTCCTGACTGAGTAACGGTCGCTGATCATAGATGAACTTATTATAAAAATGTTAATCCCTATGGTGCTTGTTAATAAAGAAGTGCCTCCAACTCTTAGTGTCTCCGAGTTAGTCACTACATATGTATGAAGGTTAAACTTATCATGTATGTACGTTGAACTTTTCATGTTTGTATGTACGTTGAACTTCTTTCGCACTGTACATAGCCAACTCTGCTAATTGGAGGTGCGGGGGAAGGACAAACTAAACACAAATTGCCAGTTAGAAAGAAATTAGTTTTCCGGTGGATTCCTAAAATCGGAAGGAAGAGCAGTCCAGACAGCCGCAGAAGCGAATTTGGAAGCGCGCGATGCGGTGACCGTCTATGTTCGATGGCCAGTCAAGCAATAGCAGCAGTAAGGTACTTCCATCACCTGTCCCTTGCGGAAGAAGTTTGGCAGGTACTTCATCGCGTTGGTGCGGATGCAGGCGATGTTGCCATAGTGGCCGGGCTGGGCGGTGCGCAGGGCGGTGATGCGGTCGCGCACGTAGTCCGACACCTTCACACGGATCTCCATGCCCAGGATGAGCGTGCGTGGGAAGAGCTGAGACAACTCCACTGGGAATGCACGTGCACGTACAGACATATCGATGCACTTTAAATATAATTTGAAAACGAATTTGTTTAGAACTGCTTTTTGTGTTTATTGTTCCTCCCCCGCAACTTTCAATTAGCATGATTGACTACGTATGGTGCGAAAGATAAATATATATACGTCCAAATTCAGCAAAACTCTGGCCATAAGCCAATAAGAAAGCTTCGATTAACTGCTCCACCAAACACGGCCCAATGAATAAAACCTGACCTGTACAATCATACCAATGAGCATAAATCGAAGGTCAAGACAGATTAAGACAGGTTAGCAACATAGTTAAAAGTGTAGTGGGTTCAACTGAGTCGCACTCTTAGACTTGGAGGCAGCGCATTTATTTAGTTCCAACACAACGGGGTGACTTCACCTTTAACAAGACAACGACCTAGGGTGGTGACCACCCTGGCGAACTACACTGGTTACCGAGTAACTATTAACTCCAGACCCGGGACCAACAACATACTGCCTGGGTCCACGTGCTGGAAGACTCGCAGAATGGAGATCGTAAACGAAGGGTTTCTTCCCTGGGACGGACAACCAAGATCCCTCTCGGGACTCGGCTCAGATTCTCTTTGGCGTGGCCGGCTCCGCCGTTGGCCACGCCCCCCCCCCTTCCAGACCCGTCAGGAAGAACCTGGGTTCATATTCTTAAGTTTTTTCGGTAAAGTCACGTAGGTAAAACATCAACATTAATAAAAATAAATAAAATAAAACAAAAACCTGGGTTTGAATCACGTGACCGTCCTAACCCCCTCTTGGGGGCCCCCCTGTCATTCAAACCGGTCACGTGTCCTCCCGGGTCAACCAGAGTGTCATGGCCTTACCCGACCTTCCCCTTAGGTCGGCACACACACACACCGTGCCCTCTAGGGCCGACACTGCACTTACAGTATGGTGCCATCCAGCAATGTCACTCCACGCACACCATGCCCCTCTCGGGCCGGTACTGCACCCACAACATGATGACATCCAGCGATGTCACTACAAAAGTATTAAACTATACACTTTTAATTATATACTAAACTATATACTTTAATTTACCCAGTAAGGCCCACAGCTATATAGTTATTTTTCAGAAGTGACCTAGTTATCACAAATGATAGCTCAACCAAGTGGCTTAGAATGTGGAAATGTACAGCAGCCAAATACTCTAAATGCACGTTGATTCTAACTGTGGAGGGAAACACCGACCACAGGGAGACCATGCAAAACTCCAAAGATACAGGCATCAGGGTCAGGATTGAACCCATGGCCTCCTGCATACCAGGCGAGGAGTTAACATCTTACCACCATAGCGCCCCAATTAAACTTGCACAGCTAAACAGGTCCTGTGTTTTCTGAAGTCTACGCTTAATCAAATAATATTGACATGAATAACGTGCCATATTTTGCAAACAAGTAAACAACTCAAGAGGGGCAGAGCTAAGCTCAAAGCTGCTCGAAAGCCTGACCAAACAGATAGAGGCCTTTCGACGTTTCTTGAAAGTCAGTGTACGTTTGATGTTGCGGATGTGCAAAGGGATATAGAAAGTTCCACACCGAACGGGTGACAACAGCGAACCGACGTGAGGCTGTAACAGTATAGTGTCGTGTATAGTAATGTAGTGTATCATGTTGTGTATAGTGTAGTGTATATTGACGTGAGGCTGTAACAGTTCGAGACCTCGGTGTCCGAAGCAGATTTTGAGTTACGCTGCTGCGTATGATTCTACCGTGAGCTTCGGTGCAAGGCGTGAGTAGTGAGGCGAGGTATGGTGAGAAATCGCATCTTACCCAGCAGTCCACCGTAGCCACATCCAATGTCTGCAAATTCCACCTGGGGCTGTAGCCACTTCTCTGCCTCCGCTACGGCAGCTGGCATGCCTCCGTGCTCTTCCTTGGCTGCTACCTTTGGCAATGTGAAGAATTCTGGGTAATGAACTGACCAGTCCATCGCCTCAGGGTTCACGGGGCTGGGGAAGAAAATCAAGACGTCAGATCCATTAAGTTCATTGTCCATTGAGTTCAAGCCCCAAATATACAGGCGTCAGGGTCGGGATTGATCATGATGTAACATAATTTAATAATAGCAGTAGCGCTCGAACCAGGCATGCAGGATGCTATATGTCATACTTATGCTGCGATGATACATTAAATTATATTTTTTTCACTAAATTTGTAATTAACGGAATTAAGTTATCACTTATGGGATTAATAGATGCATCAGGGCGGGAGACGGCAATTTGGCTGGCTTTCCCCTCAGCTAAAATCCCTGACCGCAACACAACCCAATACTGAAGCTGTGCTCATATCGGATCGCTGTTGCTGGTTATCATGGTGCCCACCCCCGGTTACAGACAAGCTGAGCTTTCTACGGCATTAAATAGTTTTACCTGATTTCCACACAACTCTCTCTAAAATTTACAAGGCTCGTTGGGTCTTTCTCTCCCCATCCGCCGCAGGGTGGATTTCCACACAGCTCTCTCATTAACATGCTAATTTATCTGCTCCAGCAGACCCACCTCTCTCTCTGCCCCCCCCCCCCCTCTCTAAATTAGCAATCTTTGGACAAGGTAATCAACCAGGCTATGTGTTAACTGTGTTAGCCGACTCTCTGTGTTGCATTGCATTACATTGCCCAAAAAAAATGTCTGCTAAGTTTGTTTTCTCAAACTGCCTATTTCTCTCTCTCTAAAATTTACCAGGCTCTCATAGGTCCATTCGCTCTTTCTCTCCCACGGCCGCTTCGGGGTGGTTTCCACACAACTATCTCTAAAATTTACCAGGCTTGTTGGGTCTTTCTCTCCTCCGGCCGCCGCGGGGTGGATTTCCACACAGCTCTCTCATTCACATGCTAATTTCTCTGCTTCAGCAGACCCACCTCTCTCTCTGCCCCGTGCCCCCTCTCTCGCTATTTAAGGCCTCGACACAGAGGCATTGGGTCTCTGTGCATCTATGTTGTGTCTCTCTCTGTGTCTCTGTGTTGTCTCTCTTTGCTTGTATGTCTGTCTATGTGTCTCCGTGTCTGTGTTTTGTCTCTCTCTCAAATTTAGTTCTACCTGATGACGATTGCTTGTGTTGCAATCGAAACATCGTATTCTATTATTTACTTTATTTTATTTCTACTTGACTTTACTGATAGAACCAAAGAGTTTTACCTGAGTTGGATAGCATTAAACATGGTGTTTACTGCGAATAGGTGCACTCCATTAAACTTTATTCGAATAATGGAGAGAAGAGTCTGACAGCTAAATATGAAACGTACGTGGACTGGCGATGTAAAGGGATGCAGAGTCAGTTTGTTTAGTTTAACCAGGTGTGAAGTCAAGAGATCTGGACTGTCTCTTTTGCAAGAGTGAGGATGTGTATGAGGGGTACACTGTGTGGGTTGAACAAATGGACGTATTGGCAGTACACTAGTGCAGCATAACAACACACACCGGTCCTCATAAAACAGTCTGACGATGTCACTGTTGCCCTTGAGTGAGCTGCAGACTCTCCATCAGAAGTTATCTTAGATTCAGCAGCTACTGTCCAATTGGAACGTGTGGTGACACCACGATTCATAATCCTTTGATGCCATCGTCCGCTAAGAAATTATTCTGGAAATGAATCGAGGAACCGTCTGACCAAGTCTAGGGCACGAGTCAAATCTGTCTTTCGAACAAGGAGCAGTCAATTATCATCAGGGCTGGGTGCTGCTATACAGCAACATACCGTGAAGCTTCGTGTTCACCCGCTCGTTATAACATTCGTATTCCGATTACTTTGACATCATAACTAATTTGACACGTCACCACCACCACCCCGCAATATTTATGACCGGGGTTGCGAATCGCTGAAAAATTTATATTTCTTGCGAAAATTATTTGTTGTATTTATATACCGTGTACCACCGGTGTAGTACTGCCAATGAGTTCAAGTGCCATCCTCTGTCACCCAAACACACGAATGAGTTTCTAAGCCAAAGGTCCCAATTTGGCAGTGGGTCCCCGCTGTTTAAAACTTGTCCTTTTGGGTTGGGATGTTCCATTTCTATCAGCCTGGAGAAACTGCAGTGTCATAACCTGCAGGTTTAGTGTCAATAACCCAAAACTAAATAGTCTCATGCAGCCGAGATCATGTAATAATGGGGCTCAGAAGTTTGGTGACAGAATACTGTATGGCATTGGCTCAGTCCACGCAGTGGACCCTTAAAACAAGACAAAGAACCCCTCCCGCCCCCCCTAGCCTTGACCAAGCTGTTGGGGCAAGACCTGTAAGCGAGAACCTATGCAGGGGGTTGGGTGGCCAGCTCCACGACCAGCTGCCTTTCTCCCCCTAGTGGCGATGTTACACATTGCCAGAGGTACTCATTACAGGCCGAGTCGATCTAGGGGAGAAGACCCAGAGCACTGGTTCAGATATTCGTCGCTGGTTGTTGGTCGTGAGAGCCAATCGAACTCGGATCGCTACACCACCGCCCCACTTCTCACGTTAACTAAACTTTTTTTTTTTTAACAGTAAAGGCGCCACTGAGCTATGTAGCTCTTTTTCAGAAGCAACCTGGCAACAAATGACAGCTCTAACGAAGTGGCTTATCATGAGGACATGTATCGCAGCAAAACACTAAGAAAAAAATCCACGCGACCACGGGGAGAGAGAAACGCAAACTCCAAATATGATGTACAGGTGTCAAAGTAGGGATCAAACCCACGACCTCCTGTATACTAGGCGACATAGTCAACATTTCGCCGCCCATCACACCACCAGTCCACGTGCTTCTGAACACACACGCGTACATTTCACATTCGCCTTATATATTTTGTACGTAGACATTATTTTCCATCCAGCAGTTATTCAAACTCAATCGTATTATTTGCGACAAAATAAAGGCCGCAAACTAGGGGCTGTATAAAGCGAGGGTGGGTTGTAGCGCCGCGCCTAGGAACCAGGAAAAACGAAGAAAGCCTCCGGCGACGCCGGGCACTTACTACTCAAATGTGTGATCGGCCATCGGGTTGGAGTGAGCGCGCTGCCTGTAGAAGCGCTTCTGCGGCGCGGACACCGCCATCGGGACCGCGGATGCGAAGCTCAACAATTTAACTGTCTAAGAATGCAACTCAAACAAATTCCCACGAACTACTACGAATCACCACCAAACACCACGAACCGCCACCAAACACCACGAATCACCACCAAACACCACGAGCCACCACGGCAGCGCCACACAACCACGTGCGCGCCGCGCTACGGACCGCGCAAGGGCCGCCGTCAAAGCGCGATTCGTAATAGCGGCGCGCGGAAGCCGGCTTACGATTGTGGCACTACGCGATTAAACTGCGTACCGTGTAATCAATCAGAATCGGTAAAGTCTTAACATTTTTTGTAATTTAGGCTGCGGCAGTAGGAGGGAGAAATCCGATGAGCTGCGAAGTACTCGTTCACGGGGGTCGGCGCGTAACAGCAACAAATAATTACACACGAAAATAACGATCAGAGTGCAACAAAGGCGAGCAAGCCGCTACAATCCATCATTTGTTGGGGGTAAGATCGCGTGAATATGAACGTGTCGTTAAACCCGCCCCACCTGACACAGCCAATTAGTAAGGTTTGTCACGTAAACAGAACGTGCCAATTCGTTACTTGTGTTGGAGTGCAAATCCACAACATTTACAATCCGAGTACGACGTTTCGCTGTATCGGATGGTGGTGGGTTTCAAGTTCAAGTTCATTTATTAGGTATAGCCCTGTGAGCCATTCAGCTCTTGAATCAACGACACATTTATATTTACGCGATCTAACCCCAAAAAAAACCTATATTATGGATGATATTGGTCGCGAAATCTTACATCATTCGAAATCAACATAAATTAAGTATATACTGGAAGTACACATTGCATATTAAAGTACATACGTTTCTGTAGATGTTTCTAACACTAAATGCAAGCTTGGGGCAAGGCAGAAAAAACCTACAACAGTTCCAGACCACACCAAGACAACAACACAATACAATGGAACATTAAAATTGAACCATCGATGATACATGGGCGAGGATCAAAGTTACAAATCTGATTTGCCAATGTGGTTGTACCCAGCACGAATGTTCCTTGGCTTCAGGTTTGCAACCAACTCTCCCACTCAGTCTCTCGACATACACCAACGCAGTGACTCATGCTGCTGCTGCAGTGACCCATGCTGCTGCTGATGCATTGGCAGTGACCCATGCTGCTGCTGATGCATTGGCAGTGACCCATGCTGCTGCTGATGCATTGGCAGTGACTCAATGCTGCTGCTGATGCATTGGCAGTGACCCATGCTGCTGCTGATGCATTGGCAGTGACTCAATGCTGCTGCTGATGCATTGGCAGTGACGCAAAAGCAGCGAACACGTTCCGTGCCAAGAGCAGTATGCCTTTAACAGGTACAAATATATTACAGCCGACGTTTCGGGCAACGACTCTTCTTTCTAACGTAAACGATGGAGGTCAGAGAGACGGGAGTGGATGTGAGTTAGAGACGCACGTTACACCACCGACCCTGATGATAATACAAATGTAAGATTTTTTTTATTCCGATTAACAATTTTTAAACGAGCAGCTGTTAAGGAATACACACCCCTTCGATAACATAAAAAAACATTGTAATTCGATTAACTCGTTTGTGCTACAAGCAAATTGATAGTACATTGGTACATTGCAGAGTATGGGTGGACCTGTTGCATGGAAACCAATGGAATCAACATCTGAAATCAACGGGAACACATTCCTGCTGAGGGAGCTGGTAGCAACGTTGGGTTGCTCGGTCAATGGCGGCGTGGTGTATTCCGCAAATATTCCCGACTGTGAGGGCGGGCACAAGCCGGCGTTCTTCTTTCTGATATTAGGAAGCCACTGGAGCTATGCACATAAATAATCAAGATGAAAAACTAATTTCTTTAGAACTGCTTATTGTGTTTAGTTTGTTGTCCTTCACCCGCACCTCCAATTAGCACGATAATATACGTCGGGTGCGAAAGAAGTTCAGCATACATATACATGCATATAGCAAGCCACACGGACTCTCTCAGCAGACCTCGACATTCGCGTGTATCTCCTTAGCAAGAATAGAATAGTAGAGCATCGCTACAAATGTAAGCACTTGTATTGCGATCGAAACGTCGTTTTTTGTTATTTTCTTTGAACATATCTACGTGACTTTACCGAAAGACCCAAAGAATATGAATTCCTGCAGTCACGAAAGCTTTAAGTCAAGATTTAATAAAGGTTTGTTTTTGGGTTAGATCGCGTAAATATAAATGTGTCGTTAACCCACCACCACCCGACACAGCCCAATAGATACTATAACCACCCAATCTGTCCTTAACGCTCGTGACGTCCCTCCACATAGACCAGACCCCCTTCATTAATAATCATGAGCAGGTGACGTCCTCCAAATGGACACCCCCCCACCACTCATTTAATATCATGAGCAGGTGACGTCACTCCACATCGAACAGCCCCCCACATCAATAATCATTAATAGGTGACTTCCTAATTAGCGGGTGACGTCACTCCACATGGGGGGGGGGCGAGGCGCCTCCTCCCCCCTCCTCGGCGTCCATTCGCAGCCCTCACTCACAAGGCAGAACCCTCACGTCACGCGGTCTCCGTCACGCTGCTGTTGAGACATCGAAGTAAAAAAGACGTCGGGATGAACAAGGGATCATCACCTTCACATGCAATAGGTCTGTGTCACCGCGGCCTTACAAACTGCACACGAATTGATGCAATGCATATCACGTTGCGGTCTGCTTTTCGCTTGCAAGGTTCAGATTTACTGCAATACACCCGTCCTTGGACGAGCAAAAGTCGAGTTAGTAAAGGTTTGTCACGTAAACTAAACGTGCCATTTAGTTACTACTTGAGCACACCGGCGTGTTGGAGAGTACACATTTGAGTACTTTGACGAGTGACTCAGCCTGCTTGTGACTCATGCAGCAGTCCCATCCACCCTGCGTCAACGTTGCCTGTGGGGATCCCCACGCGGTTTAAAGCCCTCGTCGTCTGCGCCCATTTGAAGGCGCGAGGCTCGTGGGAGACGCTTGTAATCACCAGCGGCGAAACGTCACGCTCCGGTACTCGATTTGTAAACGTCTGCCTGGGTTTTACTCTCCAACACACACACGCACGCACAAACAGTGCGTGTGTGTGTGTGTTTGATGAGGTAGTCACAAATTGTGCACGTTTCATTTAAGTGACAAAACCTTATTAAATAGGCCAAAATAATGGATTTTGACTTAAAACGGTCGTGACTGCAGGAATTAATATTATTTGGCTCTTTCGGTAAAGTCACGTAGATAGAAAATAAAATAGAAAATATCTATCTACGTGACTTTACCGAAAGAACCAAAGAATACTTTATTATGGACTTGTGTCCATACTTCACCACGCGGGGGTCGGAGGCGGGGGGGCCGGGGGCGGGGTAGGGGGGCGGGGGGCGGGGGAGGGGGGAGGGGCCGGGGGAGGGGGCGGGGGAGGGGGCGGGGGGCCGGGGGGCCGGGGGAGGGGGGAGGGGTAGGGGGGAGGGGTAGGGGGGCGGGGGAGGGGCCGGGGGAGGGGGGCGGGGGAGGGGTCGGGGGAGGGGGCGGGGGGGAACCTCCCCATCCTCATTTGCATATGACGTCAGAGCCAGGAGCTCCCCGGAAGAGTCGCGGGTCCAGGCAGCGATCGCGACGAGACGGCGTTGGAAGCTGCGGCTCATTGCGGCTCCCACCGGGCTCCCCCCGGGCTCCCCCCGGCTCTGCTCTACTGGGATAACACTTCCTTGCCCCCCTCCCCACCTTACTAAGGTAATTTATCTCCCAGGTACGGTGTGATGGGGCCCACCCACTAGGCCGGTGAGAGTCCAAACGGCAGGGCCCAAGGCGCCATTACCGCGCTGATCCGCCCGTGTTGGCGGCTGGCGTTGCGCGCGTGGACGGACGGGTGCCCGGGGCCTCCCCAAGGTCGGCTCGGCCTCAAATGAGTCAGTCACTGGTGCGGTGTGCGAAACGTTGCCTCTCGGGGAGACGAAAGGCGGCCGGGCGTGGTGCTGGCCACGCGCCCGCGCCGTCGCGTGCCGCTCTGGCCTGCGGGAGGTGCTGCTACTTGCTCCTCGCTAATAGCAACTTTCCACAACAGTCTATTAAGGATAATCAGCGGGTATCTTTGTATTTGAGTAAATTAACCGGGTCTGGGCCTCCTCCAGGTCGACTCCGCCTTAAATGAGTACCTGGTGCGGTGTGACCATCGCCACTGGGGAGACAAAGGCGGCCGGGCGTGGTGTTGGCCACGCACCCCTCGTGTGTCGTACCGTCCTTCATAGGTGCTACTCGCTAACAGCTAAGGCTGTACGGGGGATCTTTGTCCTTTTCCGAGTGCTACTTGTCTGTCATGTTAACCTGTGTTCGCCTTCGGGTGTGTAATTCTGCGTGACTTATTCTTTGTAAGTTAGTTACAGTGTATGTATGTTGAACTTCTTTCGCACCGTACGTAGCCCACAGTGCTAATCGCAGTGTAATAGAGTCGGCGTTTGTGCACGCAAAACATTAAATTAATTGACCAAACATTTCAAAATTTTTATTCTGATGGATTTCCTGCGTATATACTGTACTGCAATAGGTGGATGCGTGTATATTTATACGTTTGTTACTGAATGTGTATAAAACCTTGGATTGCGAGTAACTTGGTCTGCGAGTGTTTTGCAAGACGAGCACATTTTTAAAATATATATTAATTTGATAAACGAGCGAGGTCTTGCAATACGAGTAGTACGTATACGCTTTGTCTGCCGAGCATCATGTGATCACAACTGATATACGAGTGCTTTGATATACGAGTGTTTTGGATTACAAACACGTTTCCGGAACGAATTATGCTCGCAATCCAAGGTTTTATTGTATGTGCCTTTGTCAGCACGGTTGGCTACGTACGATGCGAATTGGTACAAGGCCTCCCCTAGGTCGAATTCAGCCCCAAACGGGTACCCGGTGCGGTGTGTAGTAAACATCGCCACTTGGGGAGACAAAGGCGGCCGGGCGTGGTGTTGGACACCCCCTTCGTGTGCCGTGCCGGCCTTCATAGGTGCTACTTGCCAACAGAACTTGCCCAACAGTTTATTAAAGGCCATCTTGACAGCCTCCAGATAGGCCTCGGCAAGGTAAGGTAAATTACCTTTTTTACCGGGCAAAAGGGTAAAGGTAAAGATTTCGATATGCCAAGGGGTAAGGTAAAGGGTAGGGTAAAGGTAGCTCAGAAGAATTACCCGGTAGGGTAAAGGTAGCGCGAATAATTACCCGGTAAATACAGTAGCTTGTTTACCGATAAAAGCTCCATGGCGCAGTCCGTGGCCTCCATTATAAATTGCGGTAATTGATGTCGGACCAGATGGAGACGGTCCACGTTCTTGAGATAGAGGTAATAGAGGACGATGATGCCAGCAACGGCATTTTTGGGGTTGCTGCGAACAGCAATCGAAAGAGGCAGGAATTTTACTGGTGCCAATCTGAACTCTACCCCCCAAGTTGGGATCGTACTGACTTGCTGAGCATTGCTATGAGTTATACGGGTATGGAGAAACCCCTCAGCCCCAGTATGGCCTCATGGGACAAGGTGGTGAGGTTGACCCCTAATTAGGTTGCCATGTTAGCTAGAAGATGTTAATTACCTCGCTTGGTATACAGGAGGTCGTGGGTTCGATCCTGACCTTGACAATGCCTGCTGTATATTTGGAGTTTGCATGTTCTTTCTCCTTTTGGTCACGTGGATATTTCTCCGGGTCCTCTGGTTTTTCCCTTCCACATTCGGGATCAATGTGCGTTTACAGTATTTGGCTGCTATAAATTTCCACGGGATAAGTCGCCACTTCGTTGAGCTATCATTTGTGATGGCCAGATCGCTTCTGAAAAATAGCTACATAGCTCAGTGGGCTTTATCTGGTAAAATAAAACATTTGTTTAGTTTTAAAATAGTTTTGATCGCACTTTGAAGCCTCAAAATATTTTAGGAAGTAGTTTCCCTGTGATTGGTTAGCCGAGGTGTCGGCCACCTGCAGCTTGTGGCACTAATCAGCGTTTTGTGCATTCGGTGCGCTCAACCAATAATATATTTATAATCCCAGTTTTTAAGTTGTGTGTGTGTTGTACGTACACGTGTGTAACTATATGTGCATGGCTATGTGTGTGCGTCGTGTGCTGGGGGAGCGGTGGCGTCGCGGTCGGCACGCCGTGCTACGAAGCCGGTGACCCGGTTTCAACTCTCGCTCATGGCCAACACCAGTGACGATTATCTGAACTGGTACTGGGCCTCTCCTAGGTCGAACTCAGCCTCAAATGAGTACCCGGTGTGGTGTGTAGTAAATCTCGCCACTGGGGAGACAAAGCGGTCGGGCGTGTAGCTATCCACCCAACCCTTTGTGTGCCTTGCTGGCCTTCATAGGTGCTACTCGCCAACAGCACTTGTGCCCCCTATAGTCTCTTAAGGGGTGGGGGGGGAGGAACCTTTGTCTTTGTGGTGTACCATGTTCTGCGTGCGTCTGCTCCCAGTGGCTCACCAACTTTCCCCCCTCACTCTGCAGTCCGACACCTGTCGAACTGAACGAGGGCGGAGGTACCGGGGACACCATGGCGTGCGCTAAGCCACGCTCCAGCGCCGTTAACTTTCATGAGGTGCCCCTGCGGGCCCTCAACACGACGGTGCGCAAGCAGCTGGCGCTCTTCCTCAACCCCGTGCTGCTGGGCAGCGCTAACTGGGAGCGCCTGGCCGAGGAGTTGGGCTTCGACTACCTGCACATCAGGAACATGGACCGCTGTCCCGACCCGACGTGGAAACTGCTGGACGACTGCACGTCCCGTGACAACAGCACGGTTGGCGCCCTGCTGGACGCGTTGCTCAAGCTGGAGCGCCATGACGTCATCACTGACCTGCAGGCGGCCATCGGTGATTTCCTCAGTTAACTAAAATAAAAATAAAATTATATCAAGTGTAAGGCCCCACTGAGCTGCTAAGTAGCTCTTCAGAAGTCGACCTGGCCATCACAAATAACAGCTCATCGAAGTGGATTATCGTTGTGTGGAAATTTAGAAGCAGCCAAATACTCCTAAAGGCATGTTTGTAAACGTGGAGGGAAAACAAATGGAGGATCCCCTGAGAAAAATCCATGCAACCACAGGGAGAGAGAACATGCAAACTCAGAGAGGCACAGGGAAAAACAAGCAAATTCCAAATATACAGCAGGCGTCAGGGTTGGGATCGAACCCATGCCTCCTGTATACCAGGCGAGGTAGTTAGCATCTCCTAGCCACCATGGCGGCCATCTGATGCTGCGCAGCGGCTCGATTTGCTTCCCGACTCTTGCTCTGCTCTCACAGTTTGGGGCTGCACTGAGTGACGTCAAAGCCCCGTCAACACAAGTGGGCTTTTTGTCGCTCGGCCAGGCGTTGTCTCAGGCAAAGAATTCTAACCCAGGCTTTTCCGGTGGTGCCTGTTGGATCAGTGGCGTACTCACGTAGTTATTGTTCCATGAGCTCCTTTCTCATTTTCACCACCTCAAGGCCAGAACGATCAATTGTTGGTTCCCCCCAAAAATCTCAGAAACGTGTATGTGGAAAAGGTGCATGTTGTGTGTGTGTGAGTGCATGTAGGTGCTTTCTTCAAATGAGTACCTGGTGCAGTGTAGTAAATATCGGCACAAGGGAGACAAGGGTGGCCGGCGTGGTTTTGGCCACCCACCCCCTCGTGTACCGTACCAGCCTTCATAGGTGCTACTCGTTAACAGCAATGTCCCCAACAGTCTGTTAAGGCTATGTCGAGGATCTTGATGTTATAGGTGCTACTCGTTAACAGCAATGTCCCCAACAGTCTGTTAAGGTTATGTCGAGGATCTTGATGTTGTAAGTACTTGCCAATAGCCTTTGTCCCAATGCCACTAGAGGGCCTACTGGAGATCTTAATTTTTTACGTGTGTGCACATTCACAGAACAGGACTGCGTGCGTTTCCTTGCGGAGAAGAAGAGTGGTCGTCCTCCTCCCCGCTCTGAACCGAGGCCCTTTGAGCCTCCTGACTGTGTGACGATGCTCGACGTTCCCGAAGGTCAGTGTTGTGATGGTGCCATCACTGCAGTGTGTGCTAAACTAAAACTAAACTATTTATTTTATTTTACCAGGTAAAACCCACTGAGCTCTAGCTCTTTTTCAGGAGCGACCTGGCACATAACATAGCCCAATAAAGCAGCTTATCGTATGGAAATTTATATCAGCCAAATACTCGATAATGCTTGATGTCGATTCAAAATGGGGAGGGAAAAATCGGAGGACCCGGAGGAAAAGCCACACGACCACGGGGAGAGACACGCAAACTCCAAATATACAGTAGGCGTCAGGGTTGAGGTCAAACCCACGACCTCCTGCGTACCAGGCGAGGGCGTTAACATCTCGCTGCTTACCTCGACCAGTTGCTCTTTCGTAAAGAGATAGACGGCGATACTGTGCAGCTCCTCTGATCCATGTACATTTTACATGTAGTTCCCGTTCGGAACTCGCACCGACGTCCGCCTCGGTTCCCGTTCGGAACGTCCCGTTCTGGAACTATATGTGGGGCACCAGGCCACGCCATGCTACGCCACCTGATTTGTTCGTTGCAAACTTCCCACACAGCTTTTGCTTTATTTGTGCAATTACGAGGAGGGACCTTGGACGTGGCAGTAATTTTCACGGGGACTGTTTGAGCCGACGCGCACGCTCGAGTCTCCTGGCCCCGTGGTCTCACGGAAGCGCACCGCTCTGTTCCGCTTACACCTCCGAGCTGATGAGTGAGCCAGGGGGAGCAACCTCTCTTTTCTGTTTACCGTTTTTTTTGTCACTGGGAGAGACAAAAGGAGTATTTTTGTCTAGATACACGCAGCTTATAGATCCCCCCCTTCCTGAGCTCCCTCTCATTGAATCGGATAAGTGGAGTTTCTCTGTGGCTTATTCAGGAGTTGCGATTTTTATATAAATATTCACCTACGATTAGTACTGCACCTCCGATTAGTACGGTTGGCTACGTACGGTGCGAAAAAAGATCAATATACATACATCGCACCTCCGATTAGCACGGTTGGCTACGTACGGTGCGAAAAAAGTTCAGCATACATACACACACACAACTGTGAGCATCGGTGTCGAGCATCTGGCCGGTATGAAAAAACAAATGAGACAACGCCTCGCCGCCCTCTGTGCCTTCAGTGTACGTGGAGAAGTTCGACGCCTTCGTCTGCTACTGCTACGCCGACATCGATTTCGTCAAGGAGATGATTCAACACCTGGAGCGCAGCTCCTACTCCCTCAAGTTGTGCGTGATGGACCGCGACGTGCTGCCGGGCCAGTGTGTCTACACCATCTCCAGCGAGCTCATCGAGAACCGGTACCATTCGCTCCTCGCTTGCTCACCCGCTTGCTCTCTCGGCAGCGTGTACAAACTTCTCTGGCTACGCGTCGTGTCCGTCCTCGTGCTTGCTGAGCTGCGTTGGCTTCCGGTTGCCAAACAAATATGTTGTAATGTCACGCTCATTGTACACACAAAGTTCTTGCCACCAATGAACCAAGATACCTTGCTACTCATCTTGTCAAGGAGCATAAACCATCACGCGAACTCCGGTCATACTCGCTGCGGCAGCAGCAGCCGCTTTTGGCTAACCATCGAACAAAGACGGTGGTCACTTCATCGCGTGCTTTCAGATGCACTTCTGCGGCCATCTGGAACGCTCTCCCTTCCGATATTAGGAATTCCCCAGAGCTATGCACTTTTAAATCATCATCTCGATTGAAAACTCATTTTTTTAACTGATTTTTGTTGGTTAGTTTGTTCTTCCCCCGCACCTCCTCTTAGCACGGTTGGCTATGTACTGTGCAAAAGGAGTTCAACATGCACACAGCTGCCAGACCCACACGTCTGCAGCTTCAGTGCAATCATCTCATGCAGGCACAGCCTGGTTCACGCCCAGGCTTGCTTCCTGAAAACCAGAATGTAAATCTAAAGTACTTGAATCGAAGAAAAGAGGTGAGATGGTAGGTGCTACTACTAGTAGTACGGACGATGCTAGTAGTCGTAGTACCTACTACTAAAGATGGGATGGTGGATCATGACGTGGCACAGTACCTCCTACTAGTCATAGTAGTATTACTAGTAGGTACAAGTGAAGTATTGGAAATGACGGCAGGAACTTCTTGACGGGTAACACACTTTTATTAAATCTTGTCGTGTCACAATACAACGTGTGGTCTCTATTCTTTTGACTATACACTCCACATAACTCGTGTAGACTCTATGCCTCTGGCTACACACAATGCACTTGACTCGTGTAGACCCTATGCCTCTGGCTACACACCATGCATTCAACTCGTGTAGACCCTATGCCTATGGCTACACACAATGCATTCGCCTCTGGGTTACACAGAGTCCCGGTCCCGTTAGGACAGCGGGACTAGGTACCGCAGGGCCCTATCTCTTCGATCCCCGTCTTCATTCTTCGCTGGTTACATACTGCCTTTACGCCTGTGTGCATCCCCTTTTATAGCCCCTGCTCACGGGAGACGGAGCTGATGCGGACGTCGACGTGAGCATCGCTCCTTAGTTAACCAATGACGACGCGCTATCTCTACGATCCGTTTTCCCCAGCGCGTGTTAACACTACTCAACCAATCACACCGCGCTGCCACCCGATCACTCCCTCTCAGCGCGTCACCGGCACACAGCCAATCAGCACCACGTAACCCACGACCCCGCGCTGACCCCTGATCCTCCACCGTCAGCGCGCGTCACCACATACACAGCCAATCACTACGCGCTGGCACACGATCCCTACCCCAGCGCGTATCACCACTACACAAGTACTACTACTGGGATGGTGAATCATAGCATCGTAGAGTACCTACTACTAGAAATCTCACCTACTACGATATTTTTCCGCATATAGCCCGCATACGCATATAACCCGCAGACGCATATACTCCGCAAAAATAGCGTTTTGTATAAAACAAATTTCAGATAGCCCGCACCTCCATATACCCCGCATACATTCATTTCTTTAACGTCGTTACCGCAGCTTAATTCCCTCATTAATACAAAGTTTACTTTTGTAATACATTCCACTATCAATTGTTAACATTAAAATCATAATGTGCACAAAGAAAACAAACTAACCCGAGTGAACTTAAAACAGTAAATAAGTAACAAAAGTAAATATCCAATACATAAATAACACATAACTGGTGGACAAGTAAGTAAGCGTACTGTTAGGCTTACCAGCATTCGACCTCATCATATTACAGCTACTGGACCGGTAGTTACCCCTGTACAGTTTTAGCACTGGTAGATTGCGCACTGCGCAGACAATAACAGCACTACGGTAACGCACTTGGCTCCTGGCAACAAAGCCATTGGAAGTTTGAAACAAAGCTCATGGTCGCGACTGTATAGTGCTCAGCCAATAGCAGCAGGCTAAGGGACTCGGCAATTATGATTCCGCGTCTGGCAGATGCTTGTTAAGGCCCTTCCCACTGCAATCCATAGCCTCAGCTGAAACTTTCGCACCCCCCTACAGCCACTGAAGGTATTACGGTAAACAAAGTGCGCCCACTTCAAACATTGTCGTTTCATTGTACAAACAATTCGAACCATTTAAAACGTGATAGCATGTGCAATTTTAGTGTGAGTGGTTTATTCAGCAGTGCTTTAGTCAAAGGTAAGTGTTGCTTAGTGGATAGTCCTACCATGAAAAAATTTAACTAGTTATGACATGTCACACGTGTAAAATATTTTTGGGATAGCCCGCACCTCCATATACCCCGCAGGGTCTTATTTTGTTTGTAAAAAGTGGTATTCCCCGCGGGTTATATGCGGGAAAACACGGTACTAGTAATAGTACTGCTAGTAGTAGACACTTCTGCTGCACCCCTCCCCCGTCATCGATGCACTATACATGGAGACGTGTGGGGAAGACTTCACAAGTGACCCCCCCACAACATCACCAGTATGTTGGCATTAGGGAGGATGAGATGGTGGATCGGTAAATTTTTCCCACGGTGCCGGCCAGTGTCTCCCGTACTGGACATGCGTTTCACTCCGCTGTCCCCCCCACGGCCACGCACGCTATAAAATATAAACGAAACACATTTTATTTATTGTGCCAGGTAAGGCCCACTGAGCAGCTAGGTAGCTCTTTTTCAGAAGCGACCTGGCCATCACAAATGATAGCTCAATGAAGTGGCTTATCATCGTGTGTACATTTCTAACAGGAAAAATACTCTTAAAACGCATCATGTTGATTCTAAATGTGGAAGGAAAAATCGGAGGTGCCTGGAGACACATCCACGCGACCACGGAGAGAGAGAAACACCACAAACTCCAAATATACAGCAGGCATCAGGGTCAGGATTGAACCCACAACCTCCTATATACCAGACGAGGGAGTTAACATATCGGCACCGCTGGCTGGCGCAAAGCCACGCGTCCACATGGGTTTTGTTTTACGACGCGGTAGGAAAATGATCAGTGGCAGAGTTAAGCTCGGATCGCGCACAATCTACTCCAAGCGTTCGAGGCGATGGGAGGGCAACGCCACGGCTGGGTAGTGGTGGTTTGTAGCGGCAGTGCAAGGCAGCGTCTTCCCCCCACGGTTTCTAGGAGATGTTAACCACTTGACTCGGTATGCAGGAGGTTGTGGGTTCGGACCCGATCCTGACGCCTGCTGTATATTTGTAGTTTGTGTGTCTCTCTCTCCCTGTGGTCGCGTGGATTTTTCTCCGAGTCCTCCGTTTTTTTCCCCTCCACATTTTATATCACGTGTTTCGAGTATTTGGCCGCTATAAATTTCCATGTGATGATATCCAAGCTCTCTTCGTTTGAACTACCATTTGTGGCCAGGCCTTACCTGGTCAAATAAAAATAGTTTAGTAAAAGAGTTAGTTATTAGTTTTAATCGGGTCTTACGATGCCCCCCCCCTCCCATTAGTTCCCTCCAGCGGCACAGGGGGTCGAAAGCTCGTGATGTTAAACATCGGCGCCGCTGCTGCTGTTGCTCCTCTCTCTTGCTTGCAGGTGCAACAAAATTGTCGTGATCATCTCCGATGATTTCCTTGAGAGCAGCGAGTGCGACTTCCAGACCAAGCTCGCGCTCAGCATCGCTCCAGGTGAGTTCAGTGATGTGGACATTGCATTGCACGATGATGATGATGATGATGGAACACTGGTAATGGGTTAGTTGACGGCTCCCATCGATTTCGAACGCTAATCCGCCATCGCTTGTTTTGTCAAGGCCTCGAGACTCTTTCATACGGTCTTGTACGCTCTGTGGTCGTAATGGACAGAATGAAACGGGTGTACCCACACTCTTCTGAATGTTAGGCGGGGCATACCTCGAGTCATCTGTTGGTGTCTCGCAGTCGGTTTGGTTCTTATTGCGATTATCGGTGGCCGCTGGTGCTGAAATTTGTCTAAACCACAACCCAGTGTCGTGACGAGCGGCAATATTCTAGCCCTGCTGAGAAGCAAATGGGGGGGGAGGGGGAGGAACTGGGAGGGTGCAGAAGAATGACGAGGATTCACGCAACATTCCTGCACAATTTAAATTCAACTCTCCCAGAGTGGAGACTTCCATCTTCCCGCGGCTCACAAAATTCGACCGTTTTTTTTTTTACTTCCGCAGGCGCTCGAAGCCGGCGCCTCATTCCCGTCAAGTACAAGGCGATTTCCAAGACCTACCCAGGAATCCTGCGTCACATTACCATGTCCGACTACACCAAGATCAGCACAAAGGAGTGGTTCTGGGATCGGCTGGCCAAAGCCATCAAGTACTGATCCACGGTTTCCCCTCGGGCCAGGGGAGGACGAGGGGTGAAGGGAAGGGGGGGGTTCCCAAGGTGTGTAACGGAGGTGAGATGTTCCCATGCTCCCGATGACTTTCCACACGTCCTGGGTGTCCGTTCGGCTTGCGTTTAGAGCTCATCAGCAGCACGGCATGGAAGTGGTGGTGTGTGTGTGGGCGTGAGCGGCCGTGCGATGATTCCATCCTCGTTGGAATGAGCAGGGATAGTGGGCCCTCGCAATTTACACAACGTGCGCGGGTGCCCTCGCATCGATCGGCCCACGGAGGCTCTGGCTGCTGTCGTCGCAGCCTCTAGATCGAGCCGCCGAGAGGGGCCGTTGTTGCAAGGTCGTCGGGCGTCCTCTGTTCTGCGGTGCTACACGGTCAGAACTTGTCGGAATTGGTGATTGGATACGATTCGGTTGTTACCCGTTTATAAAGAAATATATAAATATCCGTGAGCGTGGCACCACGTGTAAATAATCCTCGTTAGGGCTTGTGGTGTGGGGTTCGTCGCTTTGCCCTGCCCGTATGGCGGTTAAATGCGTGTCGGCACGCGCTCCAAAGAATATGCCATCGGCAAATGCGACGTGCTGTTTCAAGGACTTGATGGATATTTACTGCGTGGAATTGGGTCGTTATTTTTTTAAGATAACATTTTCTAAACGAGTTGGTGTATTGTAGGATCATACTCTTAAATGGAGTAAATTTATATTCTTACAATGATGATGATTTTTTCAAATGTATAAAATAAATATTTGCCCCAATGTAGTGTTTCCAATAGCTCGTAACAGCACAGTGCTTGGATTAAGTTGATTAGCTTTGGATTGCTTTGCATCTGCACCCCTTAAGATTTGCAGAATTAAAATTTCTCCATTTACCCGCCGCTGTCAGCGGTTATTCTGCTCAATTCACAAAAAAAAACTAGGTGAAAAATGTCATTCACAACGCATATTTTGTTTTCATCAAACACGTATGTATGTATTTTTTACTTTCACACTGTACTTAGCCAACCATGGTAATCGGAGGTAAGAAGTTCTAAATAAAATAAGTTTGCAATTCTAATGGCTTCCTAATATCGGCCGTGGAAGCCCATATGATATGTGCACGCTGCGGTGACCGTCTGTGTTTGATCGCCAGCCAAACGCTGCTGCTGCGAGGATGAGCGGAGCTCCCATGATGATGGTTGATGCTCCTTTACTCGTCTTAATCGCAATGGAGTTGCGCGCATGATCAAAGGTTCCGTAAAAATAACGGCTCTGTTGGCTACGTACAGTGCGAAAGTAGTTCGACATTCCTGCATACCTAGGTACAAAGCAGCCTCCTGGGTTGAACCGTTCATCCGGTGCACCACAGATTCGCACGAGCCGTCTGCATGCACTTCTGCGTCTGGCAGCGGAGAGGGTTTAGGGGGGGCGCACGTGTTGCAGTGGGAGTTTTGAACTAAGCACTTTTGTGAGTCGTTCCCCGTATTATCGCGTACCGTTCCCTGCGTTCTCGTGAGAATGCTAGTTTTTAACACATAGGAGGCTTTTTTGCGACCAATATTATTAATAAGACTTTTTGTGTGTGTTAGAGCGTGTCGACCTGGGACTCCCCTAGGTCAACGCATTTTATATGGACGTGCTCTAACCCAAAAAAAAACTCGACTACCGTGGGAATGTTATCGATTGTGTTCACGAATGCAACGTACGAATGTGTGAACGTGTGTGCTTGTGTGTCGCGTGTGGGGAGCCGGTAGGGCACAGCCAGTCAACGCCACGCTGTGCTAACGAACCCCGGCCATCCGAGTTCGTTTTCCCCCCTCGGCCACAACATTGGTGACGAATATCTAAGTCGGTCCTGGGACTTTCCCCCTAGGTCGACTCGGCCTCAAATGAGTACCCGGTGTGGTGGTGTGTAGTAAACATTGCCACTGGGGGGAGACAAAGGTGGCCGGGGAGTGGTTCTGGCATCCCATCCCCCTCGTGTGCCACAGTGCCAACCCTTTGTAGTTGCTCGTTTAACACCACTTGCACCAAAAGTGAGGCTATGGGGGGGGGGGGGGAATCTTTGTGTCTAATACACAAGCATACCTCTGCAGTAGGGGATTATCGTTTTTCCGTCGCCAGCGCTGCGAACCTGACCAAACGTTGTGCATGATGTGGGGAACATTGGGGAAAAACGTTCACTGTAAAATATGCCCTCTTTTTTTATTGATGAAATAAAGGGAAAATGTTCAGCTTATAGCACTTTTGACTTGGTTACTGCTGGGGATATGCTCTGCGAGTGTTGTAGTGATGTCGTGTGCACGCTCATTACCGCGTTCTCTGGATGGGAAGGCACTCCCAAAAAGTGAGACGCACTCCAAAACTTGTGGAGTCACACATCTGGCCTCTCTCAAACATGGAGCTACCGCATAATAAGACATTCCCTTGACTTTATTTTAAAACAGACAGTGAAAAATAGTGTCAATGCATCAATTTCATTTATTCGCCTGGCTTGAAATTGAAAAACTATTTAAAGAATTTCTTATTTTACAAAGTAAGGCCCTACTGAGTTGCTATATTGCTCTTTTTTAGAAGCGACCTGGCATAAGTGATAGCTCAACGAAGTGGCTCATCCTCATGTGGAAATTTCTAGCAGTAGCCAAATACCCTTGAATGCACGTTGGTTCGAAATGAGGAGGGAAAAACTGGAGGACCCGGAGAAAAATCCACGACCATAGGGAGAGAGAGCGAGAGACATGCAAACTCCAAATATGTAACAGGCATCGGAGAATACGATCACGCACATTTCCTATTTAGCAATGTGTTTCTGAAATTTCAAGCCATAGCGCTCGTAACAACATGCTATGCTAAGTCTTTCATAGCATACCCCCACCGACAGCACCTCCCCAGAGACACAACACCACCCCACAGAGACACACCTCCCCACAGAGACACAACACCTCCCCACAGACACAACACCTCGTCACAGACACAACACCACCCCACAGAGACACAACACCTCCCCAGAGACACAACACCACCCCACAGAGACACAACACCTCTCCACAGAGACACAACACCACCCCACAGAGACACAACACCTCCCCACAGAGACACAACACCACCCCCCAGAGACACAACACCTCCCCACAGAGACACAACACCACCCCACAGACAACACCACCCCACAGAGACAACACCACCCACAGAGACACAACACCACCCCACAGAGACACAACACCTCCCACAGAGACACAACACCTCCCACAGAGACACAACACCACCCCACAGAGACACAACACCACCCCACAGAGACACAACACCTCCCACAGAGACACAACACCACCCCACAGAGACACAACACCACCCCACAGAGACACAACACCACCCCACAGACACAACACCACTCCACAGAGACACAACACCACCCCACAGAGACACAACACCACCCCACAGAGACACAACACCACCCCACAGACACAACACCACCCCACAGAGACACAACACCACCCCACAGACACAACACAGACACAACACCTCCCCACAGAGACACAACACCTCCCCACAGAGACACAACACCACCCCACAGAGACACAACACCACCCCACAGAGACACAACACCTCCCCACAGAGACACAGCACCTCCCCACAGAGACACAACACCACCCCACAGAGACACAACACCTCCCACAGAGACAGAGACACAACACCTCCCCACAGAGACAACACCTCCCACAGAGACACAGACACAACACCACCCCACAGAGACACAACACCACCCCACAGAGACACAACACCTCCCCACAGAGACACAGAGACACAACACCTCCCCACAGAGACACAACACCTCCCACAGAGACACAACACCTCCCCACAGACACAACACCACCCCACAGAGACACAACACAGACACAACACAGAGACACAACACCTCCCCACAGAGACACAACACAGAGACACAACACCTCCCACAGAGACAGTGGATGCCAAAACATTTCCGTGGACCACCGCAGCACCCCTCCCTGACCCCACATTTCTGGTGACAAAACACATTCACTCCTCTCTCTTAAATAGCAGGACACTGGTCCCTCAGTTTACGATGCCATCGATTAACAATTTTTCGATTAAACGATCCGCCCTCCCATAGGGTCTCCCATTGTTTCAATGAACGATTGTGGGGGCCGACGTCCACCCCACCACCCTCGCCGGGCAGGTGGGGCGCGACGTCCGCCCCTTCCATTCCCTCCTCTACCGTGTCGGTCGGCTCCCGCCGGGCCCCCGCCGACCGCATGATGGGGGCCCCCGCGCTAGCGCCCTCTCTGAGGGACATTCTTCTGGCTTACAGCCGCACGGAGTTAACCCACACACGCCCGCGTACACCACAGCTAACGCTAACGCAGAGGCGTGAGCGCGCTCGCACCTGCAGGTGATTATATCCTAACACGCACCCACACCACAGCTAACGTTAACGCAGTCCGCAGCGGCACACGAGTGGCCACACCTGCGAGCGATTACTTCAAGGCGCACTCGTGCTACGGCTCAGCCCTCACTCTCGCCACGTGTCCGCCCACGCAGCCGCTCCACACATAAATCAGAGACACCACATCGAGGCTCTGTGCTCACTTTTATTCGCGGCGCAAATATACAATACCTGGGGGAATATGTTGCAAGAAGAGCCTAGCCTACTGCTGCCTAAGTGCCCAGTCACTCACACGTCCTACCACATACCTCGAAGCTCTACTCACGGCATCGCACGGATGCTGTGAGAGTCGGAGGGAAAAGGACGAGAGAAAACTTTACCTATCACTGCCTCGTTGCAGTACTCGCTGGCATCACACGGATGCTGCGAGCGGCTCGAGGAGGTAGGACGGCAGGGAGTGGGCCTTGGCGGCCGAACATGCTTTGCATCATCATCAGGCGAGTCACCCACCACCAGTGGTGTAGCACAGTTGGATATATACGGTGCACGACAGAAGTTCTACCAGCTGCTGCTTCCATGGCGTTGTGCAGTGGATGCGGTTCAGAGGATGGTTGTTGCCCAGAAGCTTCAGGGTGGAGAGATGGAAGCCAGGAGGACACCATTATGTTTCGTTGGAACTTTCACAATGATGAGGTTTTTTGTGACCCCTTGTGAACTCCACGGCCCAGCTTTGTTCTGGTTTCGTGCGATGAACCTCAATTCACTTCAGCGACTTTAACCTGGGGATCCGTTTATCCAGATGCATTTCCTTTTTGTGAGGGAGCTTGTGGAGGCCTTTCAGTTGTGGAGTAATATGACGTCGTTTTTTTTTTACTATAATGTACCTAACTATACATATTTTTCATTTTACGTGTGGGATTTGGGCCGTGATGCCCATGAACACACAAATTGTTCAACCTCTTGCAAATGATGGGAGTTTTCAATCCTCTGTCTAGGCCATGATTACAGGTGACCTCGAGCCGTCTGTGTTGTAGACATCCGAGCTCAAACATTCAGAAGCTTCGGTGACCAGTATGGGACATCGGGTTACATTTTTAGCCAACGATGATCCTCGCACGACGCCGTTATACAGATGTAGACCATTGTGAGACATTTCACCATGGGTTTGTTTCCTTTTCTGTTGGCTGAGAACACCTCCAGTTCCGAGATGGAATTGATCCCTTGTGGTCAAATTTCCCCAAGACAACGGACGGTATACAATGCTCACGTCAAATTAAACCCTTCCCATTTTTCGATGACGTACGCATACGTTATCAGTTTTTATTCTAATTCCATTCCAATGATGTACACGTACATCTTCGAAAAGGAACTGGAAGAAACACTTAAATACAGTAACGTTATCGGTACCGAGGCTCTCATAAGGCCATGCAGGAGGGCGTGCTACGCAGTCTGGCCCCAGCTGTCATAGAGTGGCGGTGGTCGTGTTGCTATGGTTTTCTGCGGTGAGTAACAATATCTTTACAAAGCAACGGCGCGACTACTGCGCGTCTCTAAATAAAATTAACGCCGAACATGCTTTGCGAGTTCCCGAGATTCGGCGGTGAGCAGGACAACCCACCCACCCTGCAACTTTCAGAAGACATCTGGGAAACGATATAGGGGCTAATGAAAGTGTAAAAAAGACAGTTTTGTTGGCGCACATGCAAACAACCAACACGTGCAGTTGCAGCTCGCAAGTCACGGCTGTGGTATAGCGCTACCACCGCATCGGCGCTGGGTTCTTGCATCTCGCCATGCTTGTCATCATGTTTCACGGAAAATGTGTGTATTCGCTGGATTTGAATACAGACCGTGCTTTCCATCTCGTGCTTGCGGGAGGAGGGAGGGGCTCCCTTAGGTAGGCAGACGAACGCATGCGTGTGTCCCTGGAGTCGCCCCTGCGGGAGTTGTGGCCTCCACGGTGGGTACTGCGTGCGTGCAGACGTTCAACATACATATGTAGTGCCGTAGATGGGCCGCACTTACCGGCAGTGGTAGACGGGCCCATCTGCAGGCGGTACCTCGTACCGCCAGGGGAGGGGCTGCAGTACCAGCCCAAGAGGGGAGGGGCTGCTGGGGGCTCAGGATCCCAGACAGCTAAGCCCCTCGGCGCTACCAACGGGGGGGGGGGGGGGGGCTGTGGAGGATCTAGGATCCCACGCAACCCCACCCCTCGATGGGCAAGGGGCATAAAAGGGCACCTCCCCAGCCGACCGGGACCAGTTAAAGACTGAAGCCGAAGACCAGCTAGATAGGACCCTGAGACCCCTAGCCCCGCTGTCCTTATCAGGGCCGGGACTCTGTGCGGCTCAGTGGTGCGACCCTGGGAACCCTTGGCCCGACGTCCTTGTAAGGGCCGGGTCGAGTGTGTCAGAGGTCGGAACTCGCACCCTGGCTAGGGCGAGTTAGAATAGCCTCCCCCTAGGCACCCATAGCCGGAGGTCCCTGAGTGTAGTCCTGTGTTCGGGCAAGTTAGCCCGGAGGCAGTACCTCCCCAGACAGTGGAGTTAGAGTGTTCTGGGACTGTACTGCCGAGTGTGGTGTAATAAATAGTGTTGCCTCCAAGAACTGTCTCCGGCATCTCCTGAATCCACAACACTACACATACAAAGACCGCACCTCCGATTAGCGTGGTTGGCTTCGTATGGTGGAAAAGAAGTTCAACATACACACATACATACACTGCTCTTCCGATTAGCGCAGTTGGCTAAGTACGGTGCGAAAGAAGTTCAACATACATACATACATGCAAGTAGGGTTGGTAGGTCTGGAGATTGTGTCCTCTAGCTACGC